CGCGGTACAGCATTTACCGAGACCAAATCGTCCCCTTAGCGTTACTGAGCTTTAACGTAGTGTTGACGTTCGAGCCCTACTCGAAATGCTAAACGTGGGGACTTGAACAAAAATGGACAGAATAATTCGAAAAGTGATTCTCCAGCAATTAGAGGTGTCTTCTACCGATAATGCAAATCTTTCATTGTTTGGCATACAGTTTGCCGGCTACACAAATAAAACCATCATAATTATATCATGCTAATAGTTCAGCTATCATAACTACCGTGATCAGCAATTAGCCAGAAACTCTTCCTGGCAATAACAGTACTTATACTGGAGACACAGTTTCGATTTCCGAGAACCTTCTCTGCTTACCTCATCTTCACGTTCTTCCAATTGTAAAGCCGTCATTACTACGTCACAGCAATCAACTTGTAGTGGAGCAAGAAATCCAGCAACAGCTGTTTCTGTCTGACGCCATAGCGTGCACCAGGACTGACTGCCAGAGTCAGTTCCTGATCCAGTGAAATGTACCACCACTATACGTAGCAGTATCGCTGACGTTTGCACTGCTATGCTACACCCGTCGATACTATAGCAGAATCAGCAATGATACGGATATACATATGGATAGACACCAGTGACCAAGTATACAGGCTTCCCGGCTGCGCCATAGCGCATAGTCGGCTGTGTTTGCGTCAGGCGATCCGCTGTAGTTCACGTCCAGCCATTAGCTACTTGAACAGCGGGAGCAGCAGTATCAGTGGCTAAACAGTAATGATGACTCACTATTCATCATTTGACAGCTGTTGTCACAGTAATAGAGCAACCCATAGTGGTAGCAAAGCCATAACTTCAACACAGTTCAAAGATTGCAGCAAACTATAGTGGTCAAACGGCCAACCGGGCATCAGTCAAATGGTACCAAATTGGTTCATGTCGCAGCATAAACTACCATTTTATTCTTGTAGTTCATATAGAGTCACTACTGTTAACTACCAACGAAAGTTCTCCTTTAGACGTTTTTTTCATATGTTAACTTATTTTCTACTGGCAGCGACCTGCGGTCGACGACTTGCTCCGAAACGGGTGACTCTGTCCCCTCGTGTTGTATTTGGCAGGACCTTATTCGATTCATGTGGATATATATATCTATCCTATCCGACCTGTATAGGAAAAATTGAGACACTCGATAACCGTTATATCCATAGATGTCATCCGTAAATTCATACTAGGTTAGCTGATTATTGTTATGATACTGATTAGCTTAATTATTTCGAGTAATTTTACATATAAGAAAAAGCGTGACACGTATAGTGATTAATTAAAGCAAACATCCGCAAATTGGGAAATTGATCAAGAAGGTTATCCTTATGTCTCCGTTTAAGATAATGCTAAACCGTTAGACGTTGGACTTTAATAGGCCGTAAAGCTTTTTTGGTTGTTATTTTCACGTTTATCCATTTGTGCACGTGCCAATTTGCATCTATAAAAGCTACCTATATTTACTGGATTGTCACGCGAGCTGACTGAACTTCTTTGGCGACGTATTAGCGCTACCTTATTACTTTCCGTCACTAAATCAGCCGCGCACTTTTGTTTCAGATCACCTACGTGCAAGCAAGCTAATCGATTGTCGGACACCATGCTTGCCGTAGGCCTTAAATGTTTCAATAATTCGAAATAAAATCACATGTCTGTAGGCAGATTTCGGAGAAGTCGAGGACCTGCAAAGTTAAATCAGGATAATGTTATGGCTAGGACGGCGCAACGGCTCGCTTACGAGTATATGCAACTAAAATTTTACCACTGAAAGTAGTGGTAAAGGGTTGTCTACTATTTTGCCAGTTATAATGCTTTGTCAATCAAAAGATACAATCAAGTTCGTACGAACCAGTTCGTGCGTTCCTACATCGTTACACGCTCTAGTAGGGCGCAAAAATACATTTGCAAGTCCAATATATTTGGGATGAATATCTATACAGCTGTATACGGGCTTTGTGAAGAAAAAGCGCGAATTCCCTTCGGCAACTATATATATATATATATATATATATATATATATATATATATATATATATATATATGTACAACTCTAATCATACAAGGAAGTCAGCGGCGCGGCAACTTTCATTCGTCGCAATGAATAATCCGATGTATACCTTTTGTCATGTCAAAGGCCGTACGACAAATGCGTTACAGACCATGTCCGCAAATCTACACACGGCTTGGGTAATGTCTGCCGACAGGATTTAAAAATGGCTGATTATGTCTAGTAACTAAACGGATTTCATCTTGTACTCGTAAGCGTGATTTGAACGTGTACTTTCGGCTAATTAGCAGCGCACAAGGTCTACAGATGAATTCCTTTGTCTTCCCTTGCCATGTACGTCAGTCAATAACATAATTTATTTAAGATGATTCACATCATCACGCCATAGCTATATAACTCCTTTCACTCATACGCTGAATGTATCCAAGCGTAGCTTTAACAAAACAGAGTAAAATCACTAACCTGGACAGATCGCTATGGAGGAATGTGCTATTTCGTACCAGCCGACTAAACGCCCTGGCACTAACCTACTTCAGGCATGAACTAAGCGTTGAGCTCGTTTGCGCATATGACATCGGAGCTCAGATTCGGTAAATATGCGAGAAAATAAAGTTTACTTAAAATGCCTTAATGGTGAACCGTTCACACCAAAATACTGCACATTCAGTAGGCTGTGCGTATTTGACAAGGATTTGTTTTAAGCTGGAACACATGTTTTGAGTTCGAAAAACAATGTTACTATTGTAGTCGACGGACGACTTACAGCGTGAAACAAATGCGTACCTTCCGTGATTCGCACCTGAAATTCATGTATTTCTAATTTCATAGGCAGAAATGTTAATACTTGTACAATCACAAGCTTATTAACGAAAGAACGTACAGGGTAACAAAACGTAAGCAGCGTTCCACGCGAGTAGAGCATCTGACAGCAAAACGTACATCAGCATTTTAGATGTACATTTTAGACATCTAACTATCCTAGTCATAATCAAGATACGAGAAATCGCATTTCCGCTGTTCTGTTTAGATTGTGATGCTTAGCGTACAAGGTGTAGTGAACCATTTATAGGTAGCACGATTCCAACAAGCGTAAACGTTAGAGAGTTCGCCTGCTTCTTCCTTTACTACGATCACTGCTCTGTCATATTGTTTATTGCTTTGATCTACCGTGTTACTTATCGCTACAGTCTAGCGAACGAAGTTCAGCTCGTTTTTGACATACATGAAACTCACGAGAGGTCCGTCTAACCTTCCCTGTTATCCCACCCATTCTAACGTCCTGCCCAGCTTTCGCTAGCGTCTTATTGAGAGAGCAATTCTATAGCCTTTAAACCGCTCTAATCGAAACATTTAAAAACAGACACGTTATCGGCAGTGGTTCAATGGGGCACTCTGGCGACATTCGAATGTCCAAGATCTGTTTTCTAAAAAAATTACCGTGTATGTATTGTGGTACCCTAGTAATTTTACCCTGAACTTAAATGCGACCAGCAGTGTGCTAACGTCGCCAGCTGCAAGAGACAGCATCGCGATGGAGCCCAATCTACGGCCCACGTGTCCATGAAGCCTGGCGGCTTCCTAATTGTATAAAACGTGGCAGCCTTGAGTTATTCGCTTAGAACTTAGTCGCCGTAGAAAACCTGCCTAGTAAAAGCACCAGCAGCATCAGATAGTGCTGACATACTGTTCAGTGCTGACACTGACTGTTGGCGGTGGCCTTAAGTGCCCGAGCCCACGTGATTCTAAAGCAAAGAGAACTGGGGTGGAGCAGACGAAATAAGCAAAGAAGTGATTACTAAGTTGAAATTCTTGTAGTTTCTACTCATTTCCAGCATGCAAATAAACATTACCGATATGAAAATGTATATGCTAAACAAATGTATGAATCGTTTCCTCAACCTTTCATGATTAACTTCCATTTCTTTTTTTTTTTGTTAAATGTTCGTTAGATACTTAAACTGTGGTTCTTCGCAGATAAGTGAAGCCCATACATGACGCAATGTGTTGTCTCAACGTCTCTAGCCGAGATAATTTCAAATTGCTCAAGTTTATCTAACACCAATAGGCCACACAAACTGCCTTAGTCAACAGGTCAAATAACAACGCCGACAGCTTAGGCAATATTCGATTATATCATACTGCAATAGTATCCGTCGCCGCTAAGAAGTGCCGCATCGTTTCGACATACTCGCTGAGCCTTGTAAAGAAATCCTTTGTAAAAAGGAGTGTTTCAATAACAAGAACAACCAACCGTTCGCGAAGCCTCACGCCAGGGAAATGAAGGTGTGGCGTGACGATGTGATAGCGTGTACACAGGTCCCTATGTACCATCTTGTCATAACTCACACAACGAAATAACACAACCGAGCTATATACAGAAGTCGCGAAACATGCAAAGTAAGCGTATGACAGGTACTTGCAGACACGAATAAAATGTTACAGGAAAATAAAAGGATATATGCAAAAGCGATCGTATGTGCTTTCCTTTTTCTTTCTAATTTTTTTTTTAACGAATTTTCATCATCATAAACCAATAAGTCAAATCAACACCAACTCTGTCCGACTGGTCGAAACAAAAGATCCCCATTATCCAGCTTATTATTTAGCATTATTATTAAGCTGTTATCTCCTTCTGAAGACACTCGATGGCAAAACTATTTAGTGAATGATTTCTTGGTAAATTCAGGGGATACTCAAGAGGAAACGGAGTTTGCACATGCAAATGCCAACGTCACGATGCCTTAGTAGAGCAAGCGCACTGCGAAGTCATTCCTAGCGCTAATGATAATTAGTTCTATCATCATCAGTACTGAGATTCAGAATCTATATTTATCATTGCGTAATCACGTAAATGAACTTTTGGCTTTATTTCCGGACTTTTTATATATGCTTACTTAACTTAACAAAAATGATCGATTACTATTTCAAAAAGTTATCAAGTTTTGCTACGGTAAACTATTCGAACCTGTGTGAAGCGTCGAACCAGACAAGTTTTCCCAACACCTGCATTGCCGATGAGGACAACTTTGAACAGAAATTTATAATCTTCCATCTGAAATAAAACAATCTAAATGTTAGCAATAAACAAGAACATAAATGTGGCACAAAGGGATAGAGCAAATGTCCATGATATGTCATATATTCACGGTGCATTATTAAACACTGTGAATGGGGCAAGACCGCTGAACCAACTCTATTATATGTAACAATTTAGCGACTCTCACATACAGGCCCACGTACATCGTTGCTACTACGAGAGTCAGGGTTGTATTCTACCAATGGATAAATAAAAACACTTATACACTTAAACTAACATAATTTGTTACAAAAATTCTTGAATTGGTTGTTGCTTTTTAAACAAAGGTTGGCGCCTACTTGGTGCGCTCCAGTGAAGCAATGCGAACGTAGCCAGCGTATAAATTAAAAAGTGAGTGTCGCTTTAATGCTTTTCCCATATAGCTGCTATTTGTGATAGTAGGTTTTAAGGAAGTTAAATGAGCGCATTTTAAAACCAGTAATAGGTCTATCCATTAAGCAAATATATCTTTTTTATTTACTTTAGAGCGTAAATTTCTACTCTTGGCACACTTAGTTTCCAAATTTTTCAGCAAATTTAAGATCTGCCATTAAAAAGCCTATCGCTCTAGCTAATTTTATGAGGTAGATAGAATTAGTGAATTATTTCGAATCATTTACCTATATAAAACAGCTATACGTATATCCTCAGGTTTACGAACGACACTCAACATCCTAACCACGCGAAACGAAAAGAGTCAGGAGAATAACTGCCGAAACTTTTGGAATGGGCTTGCTCTGACACTACCTAGCGCGCTCCGGACGTGTACATATGGGATGCTACCGTGTTATTTGACCCAATAAAAAAAAACAACAACGGCCTCCGTTGCAACCTAAAAGAGAATTTACTCGGTTGGCTTTACTACGATCAGGCTGGCTGCTACGAGATTGGAGTTAGCAAACATCAGCTTGTTATAATGGCGTTTCTCACCGAATTGGTTCCCTCTTTTTGTTACTGGGGCTCTACTCAGTCATGTATTTCGCTGTCAGAAATGAATCACTATGAAAGCTCATCCCAGAACACAATATAAAATCAAACCTTATTATTAAATTTAGCGTATTCTCTAACACTTCCCAAAATGAACACGCACGCCATTACATTACTGATCCCAAGCCTAATATAAATAGAGGCACATACTTCAGTGTGTTAAAAACATCAACCGGCATCGACAGCAAGAAATTAATATAAAAAATGGCTAATTATTATTGATAATCGATTTGTCCAGCGCCACAAATCGGTAGATCGTACCAACAATGGAACACTAATATACAGCCGGTGTGATATTCCAGTGAATATTATCTCCTGCGAGTGTACTCGGTGCTATGATCTTCCCTTATCCTCGACCTAATCCTAAGCTTATAATAACGTAAACAGCAAATTGTGCCTGGATTTTTTCACCGAGATGGGTCAATTGGCAACACAAACGGCTGTCGGGGTAGTGCATATACTCGTTCGATGCATTGAGACAATACCGATAGAGTGGCCATATTCAACACCAAATTCGAAAATATAGTTTATATTATTGTACGACGATGAAACGTTAAATTGCTCGTTAAATATGATATGGCGCTGCATATCGCTATTAAGGAACTTGGTCAGTTTCTGAAGTCCGCAACAAGTATATATATATATATATACATACGCTGGCATGGACTATGGTCGGTGTTTTCTATCAAAGAAGCAACATGTTTTCAATTGCTATAAAGGTCACACGGACATAGCCTGACTTGTTTTCATCGAGAACGAGATACATAGACAAAAAAAATTATAACATGTCTCTTATACGTAAAACATACGTATCTATATGCGACAAAGGAGGGCAGCGTGCAAACGAAGTCCCGCTTTTTACGTAGGTCTATACCGACAATCTATAAACAGAGCTCCTCAGAGGCTGTCTGGTAATACCAAGTCTTTTTTGAATATAACTTCCAGTTAATGCCTACTTAGGTGTTGGACACAAAAGTATTGTAGAAACTCGAACAACTACTAAAACGTAAGTTTGTTTAAAACATGTTTTATCAATAAGACTTACAAGACGATGTTATCTGATAAACCAAATGAACTATCTTTCGTTACTGAAGTATCACAAAAACCAAACACTTAAGTCAGGCGTCATTCAATTTAAAATTAAGTCACAATAATTATCTAACGGTGACCATTACTAGTATCCTGCAAAGCCCGCGTGCGTTGCTAGACGTTCAGTATCTCATGACATTTTTGCCCCTTCCCGTATGGGTGGCCCCCTGATCATAGAAGCATGCGCGCCATTTCACTATATTCTTCCACATTACGATATATTATTATTCGTCCATTACTTCGACAAATTCTTCTTAAAACAAAACGAGCACACGCAAACGATTGACAAAGCAGAGTGTTAATACCTGACCGTAAACATGTTCTCTTCTGTAGAAGTTAAGAACCTGGCGGTGCCGAATCTCACCCAGCAATTTAGCCAACGAACGGCGTTGTCTGTGCACCTCTAAACCATGGTCAATTACCCCATTTTTCTTACTACAAGCGTTCACCGCTGCTACTGCCACAAACGGAAGTTATCCACGTCTAGTTTTCGTGAACTGCCAGCAGTTACTGTAAAAAAAGATCATCTAAAAAAGCACTACCGTATGTCTATCTCTGCCTGCATATATATATATATATATATATATATGCATGTGTGTGCGTGCTACCCTTGACCTGGCGCGAGAATTGCGTAACACCAATCTCTAGCCGAAATCCCAAGTCTGCTTGCAGACGAAGCTGTCGTTGGCAAGCTGCTACTGTCGCTGCTACGGTTAATTGTGAAAAGAGCCAACCAGTCAGGCTCTTAAAAGCTAAGTCCAACTTGAATCCGGCAGTATACAACAGCGGGCTCCAGCCGCCGGTCACAAGTCACAAAACGAATCAAAAATCCTTCGTTCATTCGGACGAGGTCAGCCTTTCTACGCAGGTTTTTACGCGCAGTTAGTTCGCTCAGCGATGAACATATTCTTACCGCTACGAACAGCGCTAGTGGAGCGGCAGCATGACAGGTAACCCAAAGAAAACATCTACAATTCCAATCGGTGCTACGGCACGTACAGCAGCAGCGGCGGCAGCCATAGCGTCGCATTCGCAGTACTTGTCATCATAACAAAGTGGAAAGGCGTAGCATAAGAGAAAATCGCGAAAGGAAAGGCTGTGAAAAAAAGAAGAGCCGACGACAACAATGACAGACATGTGCGTTAAGCAACAGGTCCGAACAGTTTTTAGCCGAAGTAACAACTAATTACTAGATTAGTTGTGTGCTGTTGCCGCAATGTTTGGCTGCTGCTTCGTTTAGCAGCGATGCCGCTGGTAAAACCCAAGTAATAACCGACGAACGAGCCATCCTTTTGTTAATGTAGTACGTTGCAGTTTCCACGTGGTATATTGATAGATGCCGCTGTCGCTAGAGTTTCACTTGCTGTTACGTTAGTGTCTTGAGGCATTGTTGTCCGGTTGATGATGCCTTGTTCAAGCGCGAATGAGAAAAAGATATCGTCGCAGATCCAAGCGTTGTCAACGAGGGACGAACGACACGAAGATCCCAGGAGGAACAAGCACTGAAGTGGCGTTGCCTGTCGCTATTCTATCTGCTTGGTTGATTTACCTCTCTTTGGTCGAGGTTGCGTGCCCATGTACTGACCCAATAATACATCCGCTGATACTAACGGCGCCAGTAGTGCTAATCTTACACAGAGACAACAAGCCACCCACCGGCAATAGTAGCAGCACTGTGACATGGCACTTCGCAGCGGACAAATAAAAATAGACATGTATCGCAGATCGAATCTTTCCTCAGAATACCGAAAACGAATACCAAAGGCAGCATTGCCTTGGCTGAGCGTGCAAGTATATGTCGCACCGAGCTTTAACATGTGCAAATGTGTATAGCTACCGCTTACCTTGAACTCAAACGGGCTTTGAAGGCCATGTGTTAAGGTAGTAAAATGTTTTTGGTCCATAATCTACTTTTAGCCTAAAACATCTCATAGGTTTCGGCTTTAGAGTGTTTTCGGCTTTACTGCATCACAAGCTATGAAGTACACGAAATTTGTGACTCGTTTAGAACTGCCGAAGGATGACGTCCTATCTTGAGGTCATTCAAGTGCGAACTGTTTAGAGCTGTATAAAAATGCTGACGCAAACACAAACAGAAGCAGATTAATATCTGTGTTGTTTTATAATTGCACATGTGACAGTCAAAGACCTTCCTTCTTCCTAGTTAGATGAAATCTTATTCTTGTCCTTTGGCAACAGCACTGCGAGCAGTCAGAAGTTCAGCGTTCACATTCGATAACTTATTTTACCGATCATTTCAACATAGTATTTTACAAGTTTCCAACAGATTCCGTAGTGTCATGTACAACACAGCTTGGTATTTGAATGCTTGGACCCACTTTGTAAGCTCTACTTTTTTTTTCTACAAATGCAGCTAGCAAAGTAGCACACACGTATTTGCATCATTTAATTTACAAGCAGACAGAAACTAATACAGGTATTACAAGCTGAACGGTATAAAACAAAAGCTTTGGTCGCTCGTTCTCTTTGGCATTGTGTTTTGATATACTGGGGATGAAGGCGTAATGCCGCCATACACTTATAATATCGTAGGATATTCGAGCAACTGCATACAATTTAGTCGAACAACTGGGGACTTCTATTCACAGAGGCAGACGCAACGTGAACGCTGAAAGACACCTACCATATTGGGACACTACAACAACAGCGAACAATGAGAATTTACTATTACCTCACAAACCGATACACTGGGTTGATGAGCTCCATCTGAAACCTAGGTACAGTTAAAAAGCTAAAAAACATTTTACCTTGATAACTACACAATTTAAATATCAATCATGACTACAGTAGCTGTAATCCAGATACTCGTGTGTGCTGCAACGATGTTTATTTCGAAATTTTTGCAGCCGGCTAATCTCACTGTCCATGGCCTATTTTGGTCCACGAGACACAACAAGTTACTGTTATTTCAATTCGAAACTTACAAACATGCTTGATCCTGTATAAGGCAGATGATCTGTCGTTTTTTTCTATCTATGTCCTTGAATGTGTGACTATAAATCGAACTTGGTAATAATCGAACACTTGGATAGCAGCGTCCTAACCACGCTCAGATGGCACCCGTCGCACAATTCAAACGTTAGTTGCCTGTGCCTGTTGGGACAGCTCGACTGACAAATAGGCTCCTTTGTTGTCGCTGTTGCTACTATCCAGAATGGTACCCACACACAAAACACAGATAATACGACTTACGCCCGTACTATAGTCGTGTACAAAGCTATAGCAGCAACTGAAAGAGACAAACCGAAAGCAGATGCAGCAGTAACATTCGCGTACGCTGTTGTTTATTATGGTCAGCACTGTATTGCCTTTATTATTATAGTACCAATCGTATTATAGCTTCATCAGTACTCTTTTCATAAGGGAACCGTTGTCGCCTCTTTTTTTTTTCTTCTTGGAAACAAGTAGAAACTTATTTTTAGAGGTCCTCGCAAACGGAAGCGAAAAACAATGGCCGTGAAAATATTCAGGGAGCACTCAGAGAACACTGGTACAATTAGAGGAGCAGACAGGACGTGGACAACAGCTCGGATGATTCAGTACTCCTCACTGAACGTCGTATCATACGTATAATAAAATGTATTCTTTTGTGTAAGTGGCTACAGGGGCACTGATTAGCTACGAACGAGGCGAGCCTAGGCCAAATACATACACGCACACGCACACGCACATGTACGTTGAAAACGGTCCAGAAAATGGGTACAGCAAACAAAGCATAAACACTATCGGCTAGTTAGTCAACTAATAATAGATCTTGGCAGTACCACTAGCACTGGTAGTGCCAATCAGTACCGCGTCGCAAATGTCGCGTAGCCTCTCCCTCTACAGTGTATTAACGTCCTGGTTGATGTCAACTCATAGGGACAACTGCCGATCCAACCGTCTCGAAAAAAAAAAAAAAGTATGACGACTATTGACTTTCACTGGTCCGAACGTTTCTGCCAAGTGGAGGCAGAATGGCCAAGTGTATATGAGATGTATGATATATATCCTCCACCTAATGCTTGAAACAACGATGGCGATGCTAACGGCGACAACGAGTGAATAACTCAAGCGAAAAACATGAAATGAAGGACTAGTGAGTTCTTGTTCCTACAATCCTCGCTCAAGGTGTGCTTCTTAGTTCTTGCACTTCTTTTTCTTCGTCATAGCAAAAGCAGAGATGCCCGGGGCATTTGCTACGCCACTATTATATTAACATTTTCGGAACACTTCTGTACTCTCTAAGCTGTAGCGACTTGTCCCACAACGTCACCACTACACCTGTAACAGCACAACGAATAAGGTGAGGCTAGCATATATGTAGCTCTGAAGATGGTGGTAAGCACGTCAATGCCACCGAAAACTGCTTCGCAGGTCTGCCGATTGACCGTTCCTTTGTTGTCAGGAGGATTGTTGCCGGTTCAGGCGTGTTGCCGTCAATGACGGCAAACACTTCACTCAGATGGCTTTCAGTGCTTGCACTGTCAAGCGAATGTCAATTGTTGAATAGCTTGCGTGTCAATGGCTACTCTATCTGACCACGCATCGAGCCAACTAATGGGCGAGTGGCGGGTGTGTAATACGAGGCAAGCAGCAAGGGTGAGCTGCTGCCGCCGCCGCCGTAAAAGCAGAAAAGGCAAAAAACCAAACGCAGAAAGGAAACTTCTTGTCTCCCTTGAATAAAAGGCCCTTTCTCCCTGCCGCCGTTTCTGCTGTTGCTATTTGCTCGCTATTCAGTGATTTCGTTCTCCTCCACATGTTTCAGCCACCCCTCACCTGACTTTCCAAGAATAACTATAACAACAACCCCAACATCCATTGCGTCGGCTGTAACCACAATAAATGCAATCCAATTCGTTCGCTGGTGCCGATTGCTGATGGCAACATGGCACGCCGCTAGAATAGCAGCCAAAAGACGAACAACCTTAACAGTAAGAAATGGTGACAACAACAATAAAGATATTGACAATTCGAGCTCTTATCGGTTATTCATTGCGACATATGATGAGGATTTACCAAAAGGCGAGTACCAATACAGAGAAATGCCAAGCAAAGGCAAACGTTTGGTGAATGAGAAAAATTGGATCGACTGCATGCGTGGGCTGCATAAACTTTGCCTCCGTCACCGACATACGTCTATTGCGCTGAGCAGAAACGCAGTGGTACAACAGTAAATGTGTAAACACAAATAACAACGAAAGCACACCAATGGTTCAATATCATGGTAAGGGTAAAAACAGCACGCTTAGCCAGTGACAGAGGACAACGGAGAGATCATTTGCCAGCCACCCAAGCTGATGACAGGTTCAAATTCCTTGCGAGTAAGCTCGTTGGGTCTACGGATCAAGCAGAGTGCAAGTCGAGGGAATTTCCGCTACTACTTTTACTAGGATTACTACTGTAATAACAATCTCTATTAACAGGACTTTCTCTGTTATTTACTACTGGAACAACTATTAGTCTATACGTTCGTTTCTTCTATTTACTAGACTCGCAAGCGCTGTTGAATGAGTGAATGAGGCTTACCTGTCCGACTAGCTCTTTGCACAGACACTACCTGACAGAAGCTAGTCTCCGTTGCCAAAAAGGAAATTTTCGAGCCTATAAAATTTGCCCCAAGATGGCGCTTTCGGGACAAGCAGAAAGTAAATGGAATAATTGCACTAGTACTAATAGTCGTGAAACATGGTAACACCGCTCGACGAGCTGAGGAAGCTAGTTGCCGAATTGACGAAACTTAAACAGCGTTTTGTCGATTTAATAGTAAAATCAATGTCAATTCACATGTGCTCTCAGCGTTTTCGTAGGTAAAGCATTACGTAGCACTCTGGTACATGAAAAAAGATTTTACAGCATAGTAAAGCTAGAACAAGCAATAATCTGTTTTGAAGGCCTATCTTAGTTGGCTGGGCTACGGCGATTATTTATCTCTGACTTTTGTGTAAACCCAACAGTGTTTTATTTAATAAATACCATTAACCAAAAAAAATTTAGAAAGCTTACATTAAAGGCTGTATTGCAAGTACGATCATATCTGCAATGACGTGCATTAATCGTTACCAGTCTTCTCATATTTACACATAACAATTGTAAACAAGTCAAAAGTTAATTCTCGTAAAAAGTCAACAACGATCTAATTGAATTAATTTTTTGTGGGAAAACTTTGTAATAAACGTGTTATGGTAAAGCCTCAGTAAAGGCCCATCGAAACCAAATAAAATTGTTTTGTTGTTGTTTGCTGAAAGTCCTCTAATAGATTAGCGAGGCTAAAGGGTGAACTTTCAATAGCCGAAGATAATAATTAGGCAATGGTCATTATTAACGATAACGTGTTACATATTGCTTTTAGGCCAGCTGATAATTTGTCCTATAATACGCACATCTGTATCTCAATCAACGGAAACGCAGTTGCAGTAATAATGCACTCTAGAAAATCAAAGTTCAATTTATATTAGGATCTTGTGATTAAAAAAATATTCTAAACGACGCTAGTAATTTAGCGACAAAATAGAATTGTAGGTAGGCTGCGATAAAATCTATTAAAGTCTTGTTAGTCCAAATAAAGTTTTCGCCGTTCATTTTTGTCATCCATGCACCAGTTTCTGTCAATGGGTTAAGACAATCAAATGAGACCATTCTGTTGTCGAGCAAAAGCTTTCCTTTCCATTGTTGTATTACTAATACACCTAAATATACTATTTTTTTATTACATCTTTATATTTTGAACGACCTTTTTTGGACCGTTTACACTTCTAAGCACCGTCGCACCTTACATATTATAAAATTTCCAACGTTGATTATAAGTGGTTTTTATGCATAGGCCCTGTTGAAGGGCACGACGTCATGTATGTTTGAAACTACTGCATTAATTCACACTAAACTAGTAAATATATTCAAATCCACACACAAGCACGTGTCATTAATTGTGTGATAAGTTGCGAGTTTGAGTCATTTTGCACTATATCAGGAGGCAATTTTAGTTGGCTGTTCTAGCTAATCTCAGCAATATTACGCCGATAGGTTGCTAAAGCTACTACATATCTGTCGCTGGAGATTAACAGCGCGCAAGTTCAAAGTAGCGAACATCCTAATAGAGTTTACATTCAATCTATTTGAATTCAGGTGAAATACATTTGATAGGTCTCGTGTTAATTTTGCACTATTTTTTCTTGTCTCGAAAAAGAAATAGCAGAACTCTCTTGTAATGAACCCAAAACTCCTAGGAAGTTTAAGGCTTTCAAACACTACCCGGGTCGACCACAGTCGCTGCGCGGGCTAACTCTGTAATCATTACATCACAAATATACCCATTACCAATAGTAACCCATGAGAATGTGATGTGTCTGCTGCAAACATATTACACCTATATTTTTCTTACACGAATGCTGTGACGCGATTGGTTAGCTCATCCGTACACTAAACTTTGTCAAGAAATCGAATTCGAACATCTACGCGTCAGCAGGTCAGTTAATTACACCATGGTTATTTATTGTACTGCTTGTTTTAAGATTAAATAAAAGCATAAAATACCAAAAGTATTCGTACACGTAAAATTGTCGCATGTAAGCTAATACACAAATATTTTGTGACTAATACAAGTAAAGAAAACATCACCGTGAATAGCCTCAAAAATTCAGAAGGTGGTCTTTCAGTTTGACAAAATCAGCTACCTATAAACTACAAAAAAAAAATTTGGATTAATCATCAAGCGAAAACATTGCGAATAACTGCAAAAAACCTCATCACAACAAAATATCTATACGCCACCATAAGCGTCAAGAGCAATGGCGTATCGTCACGCACAGTTAGTTATACAATGGTTTGCTATAAAATCGTACGTGCGCTCGTTGGATTCTTAACGAATGCTCCATAATCCTAGGCAGCGATTACTGTTAAATACAAAACCTCTGGCATTGTTACCTTGCAAGTCGGGCAGTTGCGCGGAGGCCTCCGGTTAAAGAAACTAAACAGAAGACGAATGATGGTTATCAACAGATTAATAACTTCCATAATAATGATAATAAGAATAATAAACTTCCATAATGTCTAACTTAACCATATACAGCACAGTACCATTATAATTATTATTAACTAGCGGAGATTTGGTAGCCAAAATAGCCTTAATTTCTTATAGAACTTATTGTAATAAAAACATTTAGATGTTATGTGATCACATGTACCTCTGTTACAACAAAGAAGATTGAAATTTGGCCGTCCATCTGTATAGTTACTAGTGTGCACAAGTACAGGTACTTCAATAGAAACATTAAACTCAATGACCACTGCGTATTTAAAATGACATAGACGAGCCTTATTATGGCCTGTTTCAAGCAGAGCGCTCTTTTTGGAACTCCTATGGATAGAATGGCATGCACGCCGGGTTGCAAGCACCGTATAACGGATGAGTTTTTTCCTCTTCGCATACTGAGCAAAGCACCAGAGCGAAAAAAAAGTTGAACGCTTTCAATCGCTGCTTGGAAATAGCCTGGCTTGCTTTTCATATTGAAGTAAGCGAACGACCGATGAGAAAACAGGCCGTTGTAGATAGGTTTTTAACTAAGAAACTTGTTCTTAAAGCTGCGGCAGCTGTAGTCATTTGAAAAATTTTGGGTCTTCTTCGTTCGTATATTCTGCGATCCTGGATGTCCTAACCTTTCAACAACATTTTCAAGCTCATCGACAAACCAGCTGTTTATAAAAAACGCAAGTAAACAATGATGCACTATGCTCTCCTTGTTATTGGGTTCACATTCCTCTGGCAATACCTAAACATCTACCAGCTATCATTTATCATGGCTGTAGAGTGGGTCACATATGGCGACCGTTCACCATAGCTTAGCCAGGGGTAGGTAAATACACGCAGGCACATTACAATACCTGTTGGACCCAGGGATCTACTAGAATGACCCCATTAGGCTCTGTTCGCGTCAGTTGCCACGCGCGCAATTCCTGCCCTCTGCTGCCATCCTATATTCATAAAAAGAACGTACTCGCCATCCACCCGTCGTTTGACGAGTATCGCAACAACTCGGGCAACAATAATAGAGCCAGCAGTGTACACGGCTCTTTTCCCGACCCTATGGCTAAATTACTGCAACCGCTCTCTTTGTTTCGTTTTTCCAGAGAGGATACTTTCGTGGCGCACACAATGAACGAACGGACTATCTTGCCATATAGGTAACAAAAACTCGAAAAATATGTACCCTTCCCGATCTCACACGAAGGCAGACATACAGAGGCCCGCGAGTATCAGCGTTTTCTTCACGTCGTGTGTAACTTGCTCATCTCCAGATAATCTCAAAGCTTTGTCATGCAGCAGCAAGTAGTCGTTGTTGTCATTGGCATCAACGTTTCCATGAAGCACGGGGCGCATGTGTGCAAAGCTAACTTAGCCACTGGTCGGCTGTGTAAAGCACACGAATGGAATTATATTACGAAGAAGACTGTCTGCGATGTCTTAAACCACACTCTGGCAGCGACTGCGAAAATTGGGGAGTCAGAACTGGGGAGAGAGACATGACGCCGCATTCAGCACCTTTCTCCCCTACCCTTGCAGTGGTTAGGCGGTACTGCTGTCAATGGAAACAAAGGGAGACATGATTTCCAACACAAGCGAAGGCAACTGTTCACGTAAAGGAGCTCGCGCCCATGGCACTTGTGCTGACACGCACCAATGGCGCTGTAATATTCCTGGCCCGAGTTCTTGAACAAGAACCAGCCAGGTCTAAACAGATGGTTCCCGACAGAAACAGGGAAAGTCTTCAAAGGGATATGAGCCAGAACGGCTGACCACATGATGCCGATGATCAAGGAAGCCACACATACTATTCATACAAGTGGGGTGTACTTTGCTTTGGAAAACGTCCGTTGTATTCCAAGAGCTTAGCGTAGCTTGTGAGAACGCCGGATCCTTTTGTCTTGAACGATATGACAATAAGATGTTATCCATCATACCTATTTTTGATTTTGAGGACGTTACACATGAACACCGCAGGCAAGCTGTATAGTTTAATGACTTTAATATACTATTTAGTGGGACGTAAACTTGACTATGTTTCGCCTAATACATTTCCGATATCACTTTGCTTCTAGCGAGTTTCTAAGAAAAGTAAGCTAAGGTACGGAGGGTGTCGGTGTGAGACTTCATCTTCAAGTACATGCTACGCCTGGCTTTTAAAAAGAACAATAATAACATTTTGATTAAAAAACACAGCAGAACATTATCTGTCCAAACGTTGCTGTTCCGGAACCCTAATAAAAATAACTCCAATAAACAAATAATCAAGTGCTTATCTTATCGTGCACTCCAAATGTGTGCGTAGGTAGAGCATAAACATTTTCGAGCTAAAAAGAACGTTATTGATATTATTATTCTTATTATTATGGCTTTTGTTCTCTGCCTGCGAGAGGTATTTTTATATATGAACAAATGAGAATATTGATATTTTAGTGTATATTGAACGGGAGAATTTTCCACAGTCTGCCATCGTGCATGAGCTTGCTTTCCCAAACAAGTATATACGAATTAGCCATTTGATCGATAGGTTCACAGCTGATATCACATGAGTAACAACACGCAGACATCGAACAATGCTCGCCTTATGAGCGCTATGAGAATGCGACCAAAGTCAACGAAGCAAAAATACATTAGATATATATACTCGAAGGCGACGCCGGCCCGCTTCCATTTCTCAACCGCTCCTACGTAAGCCATTGAGCGCAAAAGCTTTGTCATTAGCCGACGTTGTTTCACGCCAGGGCCTGTCAAAGCGGCGACGGCATTTCCCTGACTTATCGCACGAGCACAGGAGATGTCGCCGCGTGCGAACACCAAGTTCAGCTCTTCCACTAGCAAACAAATTATGTTGTTTAAAAACAAGACTTTGAAGACTCAACATTCCTGTTTGTTAATTTTATAAAACGGGTTACTCTTCCATGCACCCTATATCGTGCACTATCATTTATAATTTCGTTCACAGAAATAGGACAGACCCACGAACACGGCGCTGTGCGGATGGAGAAGTCAACAGCTGAATTGAAAATCAAAAGGGAGCTGTCCGTTATCAACTATCGGCCCAGGATAACTGATCTGTCATACACGTTTTTACAATCACGCAGGTATGAAAGTCTAGAAGGGAGCAGCAACAAAGAAATGACGAGACAATAATAGATTTCATGGAGCTGATAAGATATTTATGTTTGTTATATTGCGTTTCAGTAAAATAATACATTACAACGAAGCAGATAGTGCTGTGCCATCTGTGATAAAAGTTGTTCTCGCAGATGTATCTAAAAGGCAGAAAAGGCTGTCTTGATAAACGGAGAAAATATCTTACATATTATAACTGTTAATCGATGCGATAACAGACGCCCACACCTAGTTGCTTGCGATTCGTAATGATTTGTTCACTTGTTAATGCATGTCTATGTAAGTAACCTGTCGTCTGTACGAAAAAAGCATTCTACAAAAAAAGATTTCGTAGTGGCATGTTCCAGATCCGGGTTAATAACCTTCCAGCTGCGCACACTTATCACATTTGTCTTTCTCGCACCTGCTCTATCTATATACATACAGCGTGAATGGTTATTAATCTAATTATCATATTATAATTAATTTGAGTTAAACATGGCCCACGTTTCGGTTGATTCAGTAGTCCACATAGATATTTATAGCAAGTCGCTATCCTCCTCGATAAACTGCAATGCCTTACAAAGAAACTCGACACAACAGTCCGGTCCCGCATCTGTTTTAAGTAGAAACTGCATTGCTACGGTTCCATCTACGGCAAAACGAATTAACGACTTATACGATAAATTCAAAGCTTTTTGTGTAGCTCTGAGCACCTTCATATTGTACTTGAGGTCTTGATCATGCTTGCTTTCAAAGAGGACAACCGCTTCTGAATGCTGTCCAACTTCAATTTTCATTGTCGCAGTGGACAGCGCTACTTTTTCATTGCCAATAGAAAATTTCAGTATCGATGCAGTATGATCCATCTCTGCCCATATTTCCTTTAACAAGTCGGAGTTGAATAACACTCTCGTCACAATGTCGCCCAATGTTTCCACCTCAATAAAATCTTCGCATTCGAATGTTGCGAGCTCGCATTCGCTGAATACTCCTCCGTCTTCGATAAACAGCACGAACGAATTGTTGCGGCCAGGATAAACGACTTTAAGAGTTGAATATGAAGATGATGACCCGAACAGATTTAGACACTGCTCGAGGTGATCGAGCGAAATTTCAAACATGACGCTGTCGTGTGCCCGAAAATCGAACTGTTTGAAGAGCTGCTCTTCGAGGAGGGCTACTACTTGAATGCATTTATCTTCCTCGGAGATGAACCTTAATCCTTCAAGGGATATCTCCAATGCTGCGCGTTTCTTGAGCACCCGAACTGAACGAATGATATTGAGCAGAATTTTAGGGTATTCGAGAATCGCCTCAAACGTATATCCATCGTCGTCATCCATGTTGCGCATTTGATCGTCAAAGAAACCTCACGATGGCATGAAACACAACCAAATAAAATCAATTGAAAGGAGAAGCCTCTCTCCTGTTTCTGTTCTGCTGTACTTCGATAGAAAATTGGATCACTCAGCAAGTACATATATTACTAGTAGTAGGCGTCCTGCATCTTAATATAATTCCTTCAATGTCATACGTGCCGTTCGGCAGTTTATTGTCGCCGGCGAGTCAAAGGCTGTTGGCTTGGCGCGTTGCAGACAACAGATGACGTCTGAGGAGCAACTATGAAAACATTAAAGACCTGCTGGAGATATCGACTCACCGTTTTCAGTGTATCCTTCAAACTAGCTCACGTAAAAACACCATTAGTCCGTCCACATTTCCTTGCTCACAAACGCTTTCTTGGCACGCACTCAGCTGGGGAACACTGGGAAGTGTGCACAACTTGACAAAACCTCCTCCACCACCACACACAAAAACCCAATAACAACATCGCACAGTCTATAGGGGAGAGGGCGAGGACGTCAGAGAAAGTGTAAATGGGTGGTAGAAAGGCGGTAATTTTCAATTTGTTCGTGCCATCGCAAAAGACAAAGTTGGAAATAAGGTCGAATAGTCACACGGAATATGTCGTCCTAGCGTTAGAATAATGGATAATCTAACTTGTTCGAAAAAATGGTCAGTAAAGTTGAAGTAATTCGAACTATAAACCTTACCTCTTTTTTGAAGCATTTGTTCAACTGGATAAGATAAAGTGGTTTTCCATATGATTCCAGGCATTTTCAAATAGTCGCGTGATACCGCATTATTAAGTTGTTAGGCTGTATGCTAAATAAAGTCATTAATACACTTTTCTAGGTGAGAGTCAATTTAGGATTTCTTATCATAAAATGTATAGGTGGGATTTAAAACAGACGTCACGCGAAAACCTAGACAGATGTCGATTTTTCTTCATGTATACTCCTTGTCAATGTTTACGCTATTTCGGAGGCGTGTTCGGATATTCGCAACATCATCCCCTCGAGCAGTAGAGGCAAGAACGGAATTTGTACTTGCCAACTTCTTTTCGCTGATCTGGTGATTTAGTTTTGCCAGTAAATACCTCTTAGATACAGTAAACTATAGGCCTAGTGTATCGCTGAGAAATAGAACAACCTTATTTATTTTTTGGTGATGCCATAAAACTGTCCTTTTACAGATCTTTGAAGCCAATAGTTATTTTAGAATCTTTTGATGAAATTCTTTATTAGTGTGCTTCACTGTCCTAGGAAATCTAAATTTAAGACCTTCATTGGTATGTTTTTTGTCCATTCCTATACTGCACTTTCTTACGCAGTATTTTTACAATTCGCGTGATTAACGAAAGCTATTTATTTCTACAGTACGTGAAAAAAAATGACGTCAGCTAACCCGCTTCAGGAAATCGGTGAATTCGCCGTACATGATACGTTCCGTGATGGGTGAGTACTAATATGACGCATATTTATCTTCCGAATCTAATGGTTCATATTTCTTGGATGCTGAAGAGAGTCACAAGGCAATTTGAAAATGACATTTTTGAATTTATTCAGGGAAAAACTTAAATATGAATTACCATCGCTTTAAGAGTTGATGAATAAACTTCGAGCTATATCCGATCTTTAGTATATATTTACAAACAACCCGTTTACGTTCTGTCTGGATTCGGTATGAATACCTACATCCTTCTGAAATATCTACGCATGAATCGATTAACAGTTTACAGTGTTTCCGTGGGGTAAATGCTGCAGGCTAGATGGCTAATTGATAAATCAAATTATTCTTCCAAACACCACAGATTCACGAGCGTCAAGTCTAGCTTAGCCTCTGGTCACGTCTTGGAGGTTAGCGAAAGGCAGTTCTACGCCAAAGAGGACGCTCTTCGTCTGGGAACCGCCCGTAAAATGCAAGGACTTCATGCTCCTCTCAGGTTAGATCTGTGTCATTATAAGTACTACTGCAATATAGAAACTACGCGATTTGCTTATGGTTCTATGGTTACATTATTTCAATTAGATACTTACCTAAACAGGATTCCATTGACGGGTCAAAATATTCAAATCAAAAGTTGATAGCAGATAACTGACTCATAATTAGTAGGTGAACCTTTATCCCAACACATATATTCTTAACTTAACAGAAGAATCTATGCATCTATCTCGAATATTCAATAAAGCAAGATTTCATTATCTTTCTTGACCGGTTTGTTTCACGCTCTACTTAATGTGTTTCTGGTATTTCTTTAGTCTAAGAAAATTTCATTAATATCAAACTTACTTCAACTTAGTAATCTTTGCCTCGTGCTAAAAGTTATTTGCGTTTCGGACATCAGTGCGTAACGTTCCCTAAATTGTTGCATCCTTAAAAAATTTCAGGATTGCTAACCCGATCTGGAACTTCAACAGTTAATGACATTTTCTAATCTATAGGATGACACAGCCCGGTTCTCAGAAGGAATCCTGCTTCTATTTCGTTTTTCATTTGCATTGCTCTTGATCATTTCTGGCTTTTATTGAACAAAAAAGCGTGACACCAAAATCTAACATGGATTCGACATTGCAAGGATCCTTCTATCATTTTCGAGGTTAATTACACCAGGCAAAATACAAAATACAATTAGTGTGATGGGTTTTAAAGAAAAAATGAGTTTTTTTTTTCAGGTGTTCTGCATACTGACCTCGATTGCCTCTCGTTTGTGTAGTGTCAATTAATTGGTTGCGAATTTGACTCCTTATTGATAAATTCAGGTTGATGACAGAGCTCAGAGCATGCCGGACTATTGGCCGACTACCGTGCATGGTTTCCTCGAACCTCATGCAAGACACTCTTCGCGGGAACGACGATATAATTACATTTGATGATATTTTCAATGGTAAGTATCTTTTTTGATGGACCATCTTACAAAGTGAGAAGTAAGTTTATTTACTGATTAATTAAGTTTATTTTTCTGTATAGCATACTAATTTTGCTTGTGTCATAAGCATTATAGAAACTGTAATGTATAATTAAAGCAACCACCTCGGTTGGCTCATACTACTATATTGATAACAGAACATATTGTACGTATTAAATATCATTGCGTGTTCGACGGAGTCTCCATCTTGTACCAATCCAGATTTGATACTATCGGACAAGATGTGTTTGTATGATGATTTTTTTTCGCAAATATTTATAGTCTTTTTTTAAAAAACGGTGCGACGCAGCTCTTAGCTAGTGATGTTGGAATACACATATATGCTCATTTCATATTTTCGTTTATATTTAGGTATTGAAAACTTGGGTGAGTGTATCTTTTATCATATGTAATGAATTTAACGATAATAGTAATTACTTTTCTTGTTACGTACTGTTTATTACAGATCCGGCTAATACCGAAATGCTACGGCACCCTCACGCAGTAATGGACAAAATTAATTGGTCCGGATTTTAACCGAACAGCAAAGTACAGCGTCCAAGCTATCGCTTCGTTTAAGCAAATAAATATATATACAGATTTCACACGAAGTTTGGTCACCATAAAGAGGCGATGTCATTATTACTCGAGAAACATGTAGTTACTAAAACTTAGGGGCACACTTATTTAAGTTATTCCTTATAGGGGCAAACAAATCGATTTTCGCGAAGAAGCGATTATATCGGATAATAAAATATTGCTTATTATATGGAAAAAAATGTCACTGCACTCAAGTGCTTAAAAACCACTTAAAATTTCTCTATATGCCTATTCTCTAAATGCTCGTCTAAATGCTATAGTAAAGTTTTTACTGATCGCCTTTAATTTAATATGTCCCATTTATCGTCCGTTGTCGATGGATCAGTTAGTCATTTCTAATGTGATTGCAAACGCAATGTTATAAGTCGTGAGTAAAGTGTTACGATTTTTACCTCTTGTTTATTGGCTTCTTCGTGCCCATTCGAAGCCAAAGAACGAACCACATAAATCGTAGCCAATATTATCACATGAAGTATACTACCTTGCTAACGCGTGATTATATGTATACCATTAAAATATATTCAGTTTCTCGCAAATGTAGCTTGTTAAGGATTTGCTGAACATTTAAAACATTTGGAATGTTTGTTATGGGTACATTTTTAGGCTTTTTGCTGCGATGAACGGCATGCCTACGCAGGTTTTTATTACTTTTAGTCTCTCGTGAAGGGACGTGAACAAAATATCATAAGCGTTCGGAATTGTGCTGCTGTGCTAAGGGATGCCAATATGCAGTATACACTGTCCACTGTAAGCAAAAATTTGATGGAAACAAGCAAGCCCTGTATTTTCAATGGTCATACGATTTTATTTGATTTGCAACAAGAATAGCTACGTTATGCGTACATTCTTCCCAAGCTTTTTCCGTATGAACTGACGTTTTTCACACCGACACCGTTCGACGATTACTTTATACATTTAGTTACATATATTATTACAATGTGAATCTACCAGGTAGCTCAAATTATACTTTTGAATCCCCTCACAAACGCAGCGCTTAATGTTGTTCTTAGCATTTACATTAACTAGGATAATAGGGGGTGAGGCACACAACGCCGTGTTTAATTTTTTCGCATAGCGGAAAACAGAATCTGTTCCATTTTTTTCTGCAGTTGACTGTATTTATCTTATATCCTACATATAAATTGTGAATTCTAACGTGTTTTTATAAATATTCTATATCTGTGCAGACGGAGAGTTGCCCATATTATTAAACAATGACGTGTTTCTTCCAGAGTAATCAATTCTTTATTCGTGCTGCTAAAAGACATCTGTATATCAGGCTGATAATATTTTAAGCTAGTAGTTTCTTAAAGTATTCGGATAAAAGCACCAAAGCCTGGTTGTTTTGATTTAAATCAACCGCTACGGAGTCTCAAAACAACGTGGTTCAAGATATTCTGTCAGAAAGAACCATCGACTTCAATTTCGAAAATATTGTGGTCAGCACGCGTCGTTACTCGGGCGTCAGTTTAACTATTTACGATGTGGTGAAGTGATCTTCAGTTTAATAGTCGACAGCTACACCTGTTCGATGGACCGTAAATATGAGGCAATGGAGATATCCAGCCAAACTAACTTAAATACTTCACATGGATACGTTGTGTTATAAAGCTATTTCAGAATTGAACCGTTAACTTTTAAATATACTGAGGAAACCCCAGCTACATGATTTTGCATTTTTCCATGTGTCATCGAGTAATCTAAATTTCATAAAAGCGCGTCAGAGGGTACTGAATTTCACACATATATTATATGAAAAACAAGGAAACGATTTGGATCTTTGGCCTGAAGCGCCCATTTTTTTTTCAAAAATATTGCTGAAGCGAAAAAAATCGAATGAACACTCAGCTTTCAAAAACAAGCGATGGTTTAAAATTTAACACAAATAGGAAGACACAATTAAATAAATCGATTTACCCTACAAACCGTAAACGACATTGAACGATAAAGAGGTTTCGATATAAGAAACATAAATAACCGCAGAGCGTATCACGACCAGGTCTAAGTGGTTTAAATGGTTGCACACAGTTATTAGGACATATAACAAAAAGATGAAATTACGTGTTGGTACTGGATAAAACTAGAAAGAAATAAAGTAGTCGCGTTAAAAAAAAATTTAATCGCATCATTGAATAGGATTTTCGGATCGAGTCAATGTATGCTCTCCTCTGTCTGTTTTATTATTTTATTATGCCAGATTTTGAGAAGACTGCTACAACCCTGTATACCTGTGTGTAAAGATATAATTACCGCAATAACTATATCTTCACACAACCCGAAAGACACAAGTTACGGACGATTGTTATTCAAGATGGTTTTTCCTTACAGAGCTTTCATTTCGGTTATGAAGAGATTAGGAGCACCTTTTCGATGGTTTACTGAAGAAGGCAATATTTGTGTGGACTGATAACTGTGGAAGCAATTTATTAAAATTAAATGAGATAATGAATATAGGGCGCTCTGTTCACACACCGCAGTTCCACACTAGGGTTGTAGTGTGGAATACATTGTAGGATTTAGGCTACTGATGCATGGTAAAGAGTTCGATGAAGAAAAGTATAAGCCAGAAACATAAAAAGCAGTTGATACAGTAGTAGTAGGTGCCGTAAGAATAGTGAAAACTGCTGCTAGATCAAACGTCACTAGTACCAATGATGGCTGAGCAAATATGTGACGCTACTAAACCTGATGCTCGTCATACTACAGAAAGCTAGTCGCTGGCCAATATAGTACCCAAACAACTCGATATGGGTCGAGAAGCTGACTATCGATTTCCTCAGAGATTAACGCATAATAATTATTATTCGCTAAAAGCACGAAACTCTAAACGGCAAGTTGTAATGTTTCAGATCGCGGCGACTCATGAATTGAGAGAATAAAGCAGCTTACTCGACATGAAATACATTGCAGAATGCTTAATAAGGACATTTAGAAGTTTGCCGTATAGATGCCTATCATCTAATAAAGACCAATTTAAAAGTAAAAACAAATCTGCTACATCTTGAGGGCTAAACAACGTGCCTTAGTTCATCGTCGTGGACACATCCTGCGAGCTGGTGGAAGTCTCTTTGATTAAAGCGATTTCATATATCTATATTTGCTCTCAAAAAATTGACGAGTACTTTTGCTCTTTGTGGAGAACGTGAAGTATTTTTAACTGATTATAGTACACAGTTCAAAGCGGCGATGTTCTAGACGTTGTGAGAGCAAAACGGGATTCTACATATTGGATCAGCAGGTTTTCACCAACAATTTATTGGTCAAGCACAAACGTGAGACCTCTTTTTTGAGAGAGGCCAAATCACCGTAAATCCGTGACGCAAGTGAGAAAACCTTCGATGAGGAAGCGAATATCTATGCATGGGGCTACCATACAGAGAAGAGAACTGGCCACAAAAAAACGAAGCTTTAAAGAAAAGTTTTGTGATGCATAAAGTATACGCAGAGAACAGCACATGAGGATACGTCATGCAAGTTTAATGCGAAGTGTATTTGAGGTGTTTTTAGCCATTATAACAATTCGGTAGTTCTACCCATGCCCACTGTACCAGCGACCTTTATAGAACCAACTGCGACTGATAGAAATTACCTAATATATATCTAAAAAGCTTGTATTCAGTGACAGCCGAAAGCCACTTGTGGCTCAGAACAATGACAAAATGTCTTTGTTAAATATTAAGATTTAGATTAAATAAAGATAATAATATCCTGACGCGCTGTCTGACTGTATAGTATAGTATAGAAAGAATATATATGATAGTATCGTATACAAAGAATATATATGGTATGCTTTATTTCTGCCGATACCGGTGATCTCTAGCTTAAAGAAGACTAATTTCTAAACTTCGTGGAGGTCAAAGCGCCACTCCAGTGCCAAGCGCTCCTCGGTCAACAGCAGTGCCCTCTAGTCGCGCAATCGATTGGTTGTTTGATGTGATAGTGGCGCCCCCAAACAAATAGCGGGGACGCCGCGTTTTGAATCAAGCGAGCGCCGCCGTTCGTTGTGTGTTGTGAGCGTTGTGACCGAGAACCGTCGTGCAGAAGGCGGCCGGTGGCGGGAAGCTTTGGTTCTCGGTAAGTTTCAGCTAAAGCCGTTACCTTTGCCGAAGATACCAAGTTACCCGTAAGTATGACTGAGATGGTGTGGGCTAATGCGATTTTGTGAGTGAAAATTTAAGTGATGTTCGATACGGTGTGGACAATTGGACCAACTTACATATCAGTTAACGAGCGGACGACGTTGAAACGTTGTCCGCCCGTCATCCGGTAGAGGTGCCTATACAACAAAAGAAGAAGAGCTCGGCGCCAACGGTTTCGGAACGCAATTTAACGGCTAGCCTGTATGTAATCCTGTTGTCTCGACATGGGACTATTCTTTGCCTAGTGTTGGTCTGGGGCATCGCGTGAACCCCATTCCTGCCAATAGTTGTATGAGTTTGGAAATCGCGCGCATTACGTTTTGGCGCGTGCTGCTGTAAGAAGCTCAAGCCACAAGACGACTAGCCGCCACTGCAACGGATGGCTGTCTCTATCTACTGTCAGCAGTAATAACATGTCAATGGCCTCGCTTCCCGCGCTTTGCAACGGGGCAGACCTTAATCGAAAGCTTTTGTTTGCCGCCACAACAACCACGGTCACTGCGGCTGCTTTTCCCGGGAAATGTTGTAGTTCGTTTAGCTATCACTATTGGTATGAATTGTAGGTTAATTTTGGTACAACCTAACATCTGCCTTCTTAGATTTGGATACCTCCTCGCGTGTGCCACACATGATGATCGGAAAAAGAAGTTTGCTTCTTTTCGTATTCGAATCATTGGGAAAAAACCGGCCTAAACCGAGCTTTCCTGTCGCAATACATACTACCATTTAAGATACTACACGTGAGTTTTAAGGCTAAACAACAACCGTGCTTACGTTTATTTGCGACTGGGTCAAAAATGTCACTTTCTGCGATACCCTTACCTAGGTCCCAGTATGCTCATTAACGTTCGTTAAAAAGGCTTCATTTGGCTTTTTGACACTGGACGCATTGTATCGCTGCAACGTGATAGGCTAGGTTATAGATCGTATAGCCGCTGTGGGCTGAACCGTTGCAAGAAAGCCGGGCAAGAAAAATGAGGCATAAAATGCGCCACACGTGTTATTTTGTCGATGTCACTGTCATCGTTTCTGTTTGTGCTTCTGTTTTTTTTCTTCGACTCGTATGTGCGCTATATAGTCTACATTTTTCCTCACTCAGAGTCTCTTTGTTGTGTTAGTTGTTGGCTGTTGGTCCTCTTCTCTAAGTTAATCCGACTATTGCCTGGATTTAGATGGCCCGGGTGGCCTACGAAGGCAGAGCTCAGCGGAAAGCTGTTGAACTGTCTCTTCGTCTTTCATTGAGCCGGCACTTATCGCTAATTATACTTAAGAAATAATGGGCGCTGGTAGTGCTGTATAATCGCAAAGAGCCTGCCGCGTCTGTTCGGGCCTTCGCCGCTCCATCCGTCGTAATGGAGGTGCGCAGCTGTTGCTACTGTTCTGTAGGTCCGGCTGCTGCGTACTCATCACCAACATGAATTTCATCAGCAGCGACATCACTGACACCAGCAACATCAAGCTCGTCATGCACTGATGATGACTACGATGGCTGAGATCTGCGTTGTCTGCTTACAATGATGATCTTCGGTGACTATCGAAGCCACAACGGCAGCAGCATAATAGTCGAACGTGAGAATGAAGTGGTAAGCCCAAAAGGTTAGCGACAACCGACAATGTTGTTGTTGTTGCTATTATTGATTGTTCAGTTTAGCGACAACGGTTGCTCTCACTGCTGGTGACAATGCTGCAACGGTAGCGTTTAACTGAGGGGAGCTAGCGACACGGCTTGAGAGCAGCAACGGAATATACTGAACAATCGCTGTTATCGCCGAGTAAGCGATGGCGGCGGGGGCGATGACATCTGGATTTCAAGGGAGAAATGGGTAAAGGACTGCAATGGTCGAGAGTTAGCACGATCAGTCAAAGGTAATACGAAATGCGATCAGCAGCCAAACTAGATAGAAACAAACAAGAAGAGAACAAAAAACCAAAACAGTGCTGCTCCTATATATATATATTTGTTTAATCGAATCATGTTGCGTTAAAGACTTATTTCCCTTTCGTTGTACGTATATATGCTGGGCTGGTTGTCCTTGTAGCTGAATTGTCAACTTCAAATGACGTTCTAACTTAAAAAATGTTATCTCACCTGAAACGAATCGACTTGCACTCAGTAGTTAAGGGATATATAGGGGCATGACCTTGCTCATCTGTAAGAGCAACTGTTTGTGTTCGAGCGAGATGAGAAAAGCAAGCGTGAGATCAATCTGCTTGGATTTTAAAGAGCGCAATAAACTTGGTAAATCTTTAACTGAGTTTTTGTTCATTGATTATTGTCAGTTATAGTGGCCATTTACCTATATACCTGATGATAATGAATAGAAGGGAGAAGTTTAATACCGAAAGTGTTTGTTTATAAACATATCTATCATGTGCACTTGCAATGGGACCTGTTGTTCCGTTCAGTTGGTTTTCAGTTACGCAATAGCTACATAATATAATGATGCTTATGCAATGACTTTGTCTTGTGGCCGTCTTGGCTATGGTAGCGATTGAAGCCGATTTCGGCCGCTTGGATCAGTGCTGATGCAGATAAAAGGTTAGCCACTGCCGGTCAGTCGCATGTTCAATGCTCCTTCTCGTAGAACAGACTAGTAGCTTTTTGTTAGTAGCAGCAGTAGTAGAAATTGCCGTTCAACTTGGAGCAATCGTCCGAGGTGACCGGTTCCTGTATTTTTTTCTCTAGTGCTGTCATTTGTCTGTTCTGCTTCTCTATTTCGTTTTTGTTGGTGTCTTCAAGTTTTTGATTGGTTAACGTTTTTGCTATTGCTGCTTCTGCCTTTATTGGGATATTCATCTTGTCCACCTCTGTGTTTTGCAGACAGAAAACACGATACTCCGGGGTCGGGAGCCACGAAGCTGAGGGTAAGGGAAGTGACTGTCACGCGTCAAGAACCGGCTTTTCCAGTGGCGCTTCCCAGTGAGACAATTATCATGGCTGTAAGTACAGATAGCTAGATACGGCGTTACCTACGTAGGGAGGTACTCAGTTAGATAATCTTTCAATTTCGTTTTTCTCTCGCTACTCGTCCTATTTCTCTATGACTTTTCATCGGTTATCTACCCTACGTAGTAGGTGTTAAGTACCCGGCGCCGCTGCCCGTGCAGCCTTTCTTTTAACGCTAGTTTGCGCTAAGTGGTAGGTAATGCTAATGGGTAGCAATAGACCAATTTTTCGAGATTGTGCTACGTATTAAGAAATAGCCAAGGCCATAGCACCCAATTGCCGTTAGTAATTCTATTCTGAATAGCTTGCACGAACTGTTAGTGGCGAATGGTTGGCGCACGGGCCTCTCACAAACGTTTTCGGTAACGAAACGAATCGACGAGAAAAGATAAGGATAGGATTGCGAAATATAGCTTGAGACTAAAGGCCAATTCAGTCATGCCATGCTGCAACTGTTGGGGTTTGTCTAACGTGCAGGTTATAAGTTGGCCTATATGTCACTTAAGTAACTGTTGACTGGTAATGCTGATGGCCGTTTTGACGCGTATCAGACCAGTCATTATGTCGGCCGCACTGTAGTGGCTAACATGATTATGGTTATCATCATCGGCATTATTATGAACGGCAGCACTGTTATTAATATCTCAACTTCTTCTGTCTAATGCAACACAACAATGCCAAGTAACGTATATAGCTATTGATATAACTGTCAGCGAGTAACAAGTAAGTTTTTTCCTTTGTAATCTACTTGAAGAAATTATTGGCGAAAAGTTAACCAGCAACTGGAATGTTTTTGCTTCGTTTAGATACGATATCGTATCTTAGTGATTTAGGTCAGTATCTTTAATTTTAAAGGGACGTTGAAAACAGATTTGAAAGGAACTGTGAATGAGTAACGACTTTATTACCATCGCGGTTCTTATTGATACTTACGGTGAATGCAGAATACAAATGCATAAATATAGAAATATACGGTTGTATAAAACACAAAGTAAACGATCGTAGTTATTTATAGAAGGCTTTTGTATTCAGCTTTTTACAAATAATATTGCACATTAATTTAAATAAAATATATTTTCGTTTAATGTTGCAGAAATCGGTAAGCCCCTCTAAGGGGGGAGCAGCCCGAGGTCGTCCAAAGACGAAGATCCAGGAACGTAAGGAAAGTGGTGCCGCTGAGCCTCGCGGAAAATCTGCAGGAAGATCAAAGAGCCGTGGTCGTAGTCCTACTCCCAAGGTTACCAAAGAGACCAAAAGGTAGATAATGATGATGATAGGTAATTACATGTGAATACAAATAGCATTACATCAGATTATGTTATAAGCATAGCCGTGCCGTAAATTCCTTTTTAACCTGCCACTGTAAGCTATTTACTTGGTTCCCTCTTAGAAACTGATAATGTCTAAGTACCATTATGTTTCTAAATAGCATATAGTAGTTAAGTTTATGGTAAATTTTGAGCTCTATGATAAAATGGTAAAAGATGGTTTTCAGCAGCGCTTATAAGTGCATAACATCCAGCATGCTATGCAACACCAATTATATGCTTTGATGAATATAATCTCATGGAAAAGTATATAGGTCTAAGCTATTCACGCATATTTTAAGATGGCTAACAAAAAAAAACGTGACGTTCTATTTGAGAGATCTGCCTGCCTGTGTCTGTTTATCTGCATTTTGCGAAACTTTTATTGCTTTCTTCTGCTTGTTCCTTATGAGAGCTACTGCTTTGTCTGCAGAGTTAAAAAAGATAATCAAATTCTTTTTGAGCCGCTGTTCAAGATTTCGATCAGCGTCAGCGGGACGTTCCATCTATAACAGGTCTCAGCTGTGCAGGCACGATGGCTATACTACCAAACATATTCCAATATTAGAAGTTCATTACGCTAAACAGCAAACGCTATAAATCATCAGCTGAATCTGTGCAAGCAAGTTGGCTAGGTTACTATTGATATCAGTATATAAACCAATGCCAATTGTTGAAATATTGGTTTTTTTATAACGTACACTACGTATTTCAATACTGGTAACGTTTTCAAGTTTATTCCTAGAGGTGATGTATCTTGTTTTTTTTTGAGTAACAAATCCATTAGAAAATAAGCAATATTTGTGAGCTTTCCGGATTACGATGAAGAACCCGCTGATTGTCTTGATAAGAAATATAACTGATGACAGAAATCAAGTCTTCTCTAACCCATTCTGAACTAACCGTGAATCTGATCTAAGCTGTCGGAAATATACAGACAAGCTCAATTAGCAATGGTAGCGATGGAAAGGCATTATAGAAATTTGCTTACATATGTTTTTATCAGTTGTAACCTTAATGATTAATGTAATTCAGAAACTCCGCCGTAGCTCTGTGTCTCTCCGAGATTAATAAAATTGTATGGCATGACAACATCAATAGGGTGCCGTATCAATTTCTATAAGTCATATATTGGATCGAATTACTTACTGCATGGGATGTCTGTTAGTGTCTAGACTAATTCATATTTGAGTATCATCTTATATTTTGCACTAGTGTTACATGCAAGGTAGTTTTGTATTCGGTTCTCGCTCATTGCATCTATGCAGTACTTGATCTACACAGTTTGAATATACTCCTTTTTTTGGCTCCTTCTCGTTTGGCTTTTTCATGGTGTCACCCCCAAATTCTTGCCCGTGCTTGGATTATTAGGAAGTCGAGCACGAGTGCCAAACGTGCTTCCTCAAAGTCTCAAGCCTCCCGTGGAAGGTCTCAATCGAGGTCGAGAAAATTCGAGCCTAAACAGCGCTCCAGGTTTGTTGAGCCATCATCATTTATCTGTAACGTACGCACGAATTAAACACAATGATGTTTTGAAGTTGTGAATGTACGCATAAAGTTGATTTCTGTAGATTTACAGCTTATGATATGTAAAGAAATGCAGACCTGCTGCATGATAACGACATAAATACTTTTTTTTCATACCAAAATTCTTCATTTATATATATATATATATATATATATATATATTTACTTTATACGTACCATGCAATCAATATCCGCCTACATACTTTTGTAACTTGCTAGAACAGGCCTAAGTAGAAAAGCTTATCCTATATGTGAAGCAAACACTTAAGATCATTATAATTTATACCTAACCTTCATTGATATCTCGCGTTTTTCCGCAAAATTTAGGTCGGCGAGCAGGAAATCAGTACCACGCAGGTCCGCCGCTGTTGAGAAACCTCTTGAAAAAGAAAAGAAGGAAACCTCAGTGGCTCGCTCGCGTCGCAGCGTCGCAGCACCGCGTGAAGCGTCCAAGCCAAGGTCATCCGTTTCGGCGGCTAGTGATGCCCCGCTCACACGATCAGCTATTTCAGGAGATAAATCGCCGTATCCGAAGACGTCAAAGGTCGTTGACTTTTTTGCCAAATTCAATAAACAGGTGAAGGCCTTCGGATATCGACGTACCTTCGTTGCCACCTGGTGGCTGCTTTCATTTCCTGTTTTCGTACTCGGCCTGCATCTGCTATGTAGTAGGGATAATTGCTATATCCGATTCAACCCGACGATCCCGAAGGCACTTCGTGTGTACGCCGACCCGCTCGTCCTCGGCTATGGTGCAGGTGTCGTTGCTTTGCAGTGTTTGCTTTCGGCGCTACCCGTGGGTCGACAGGTGCATGGGTTCGGCTACCGCCGCATTAGTCATCTGTACCGAAGCAATTCGCTTTTGTGTTTGGTAGTTAGTGTGGCACTATTCTGCGTTGGAGTATTCTACCTACGTTTACCTAATACGTTAATCTTGCAAACGCATCGTTTCAAGTGCGTGTCTGCAGCCACTCTGCTCTCGTTCATCATATCTTTAGTGCTTTATGCAAAGTCCTTCATTCGTGTATCACGCAGCCTCAATCATGGTTCTCCATGCTCGCCTGGTATTCAAGGTAATTATATCCACGACTTCGTTCATGGCCGCGAAGTCTCACCAAGGATTGGACGCACTTTCGATCTCGGACTCGTGCTTGTTCGGGCTGGAAACTGCATCTGGGTTCTTGCAGTTCTTTCGGCTTGTATATTTGCTCGCACTCCCAGTGGCTTAATTTTCGGTATGAGCTATTCAGTGGCTCTGGTTAGTTTTCTGCAGCTGCTTTACGTTTTCCTCGGCAGTTTGAACGAGGTGTATCAGCTAAAATCAGCATTTATTCAGCAAGGTGTCGGATTCTTGTATGTGTTTTCGACGATCGTGCTTGCTCCATTTTGCTCTACTCTTCCTCTCCGTTATCTGGTTGATGCCAAAGTTCCAGATCTACCTCTACCGGCATACCCCGCCATCCTCCTCCTCTCCTTGATCGGACTTTTCCTTATTCATTATTCGAATTCACTAAAATACCACAATGCCCGTTCGGGAGGAAAAACTTTGCGGCATGGCCCATGGAGCTTTGTTCGTCACCCGAACTACCTTGGCGAGCTGTGTTGCATTCTGGCATGGACCATCCCCTGTGGCAAGACCCTATTGCCGTATGCGCACCTTGCATTTGTGGCCCTTTTAGTTATCTTCCGAAGCATCATGTGTGAGAAGGACACGAATGCTGACTATCGAAACTATCAACAACAGGTGCGCTATCGGGTCCTGCCACCCATTTTTTGATAAACTACATGCACGTATACACATACTTTGTCCGCTGTTCACTAAACGAATGATATATCGATCCGGCTATATTGGTTTAGATTTTCAATAACGAAACAAAAATTATCTACGGTATAACACTGCGTTCTAGTTTCTGAAAATTAAGACCGGATATATTGAACCATTTGTCGGAACGGAATTGAAGATCAAGAAAAGGCTTTCAAAATGTTTATGATTGACTATTTTATGTTAGTCGGACATTTGCCGACAAGTACAAGACAAACCTAGTTCGCGGCGGTAGCAATTAACTGACTGAATGAGGAATTCAGCTCATCAGCAACTAAGATTACATGATTTTGTGCCTAACAATCTACTGTGCTGATAAGCATTACTCGCGTGTGTAAGTTGTGTCTATAATTATGAGGAAACTGATGACAATGATGATTATGATGCTAAATATTTAGTACTAGCTGAAAATATATTTGTAATGACTGTTCTAAGTGCGCACTGCAGTGTACATATGTAAGGTTATAGGATGGCGTTCGAGAACTGAGGGAGAAGGCTAAACAGAAGACGAAAACCATTTTGATTGAATAGAAGTGGGTTATATTAATTATTACAATACCTTTACATTATCCGATGGAAGTTTGCAATCGAGTTTTCAGTAAGATATTAGTAAGACCAAGTAACGTTAGTTGTGTCGTTCTTGCGAAATAAAAGACCAACACAACGGTCAATGTGACGATATAGCAAAAGTGGATGACTTCTTTCCAAAAACAGACTAGTTTAGCACGATCGCTGTCACACAATCGCAGATACATATATACATGCATACATCTCTCACTGTATACATTCATTTTATCCTCATAAGCAGCCAGGCGGAGGGACGGATGGAGGTGTGCCATGAGGGTAGACACAGCGCTTCAAAGGAGCACGGAAAAATGGAAGCAATACACCACAAGTAGAAATGGTTCTTTCTTATTTTAGTAATTGTAATTGTACGACTGGGCGATTGACGGTCAACTTGAGTGCTTAGTGTTTTTTTAATATTAAACAAAATAATGAACAGGAAATCATCTCGCAAGCGTTAAAAACGCAGTAGATAAAAACACAGCAACCTTTGTGGCGCCGAAAGGTTGGTGCAGTAACAAATTATGGGGGCCGCTTGTTTAAAGTTATTTTATGCACTCTTCAAGTATCTGTACAACGAACAGTACGACTAAAACATGATTACGCTAGTTCGACTGATTGAATGAACATGTGTTAAATGAATGTTATATATATATATATATATATATATATATTTGTGTAATTGGAGAGCCAAGCAGCTATAAAAGGTAATTGAATTAATAAATAAACATATATTATCCAACCAACTTGTTGTATCCAACCCGATTTGGAACAGTTTCCCGCAAGCGCTGAAATGTTCGAGAAAATTTTTAATTAAAAAAATCTTGAATGAACCAAGCCCTAAACAACAATGAACGCTATGAAAAGCGAAAGAATAAAAAAAACTAGCACGCGACTAACGAGTTGCAATTTATTGTAAGTATTGCTAGCCTCCATGTTTCAAGTTTTATATCCGGTATCGCCGTTTGGCATTCCGTCAGACAGCTGCGCCTTAGCCCAGTATATTTTTGGTTCATTTAAGAAAGAAATTGATTGAATGAGGATAAGTTGCGCCATTTGTGAGCGTTCACCACCTCAGTCAGTTGACTTGCTGACTGTAAGTGCTACTACAACAAAGTGCCAAGAAAGGTTGGTTGACTAAGTCACAATTTCGAGAACGGGCAAATACCACAACAAATAGCAGAACTCAATATAGATAAAAGACTTAACAACAATGGTTAGACTTTTGTTAAGTACAAAAGTGATGATATGTGTCGACAAAAAATTAAACTGTGCGTAGTCGGTCGCGGGAGATTAAAAAAAATCAACGAGTGTATTAATTTTAGTTAATCCTTTTCCTAGTCATTTCTTCCGTTTTTGTTTATCATTTTCTTTGGTCTTTGTATATCGTCTTTTTTTTTTTAATTTGCTTAATGTGCTTTTTCTTAATAGTGGAAGTCCGTTTTTCTAAGCTCCTAGTAAATATTGGTTATACTCTTATACTCGATAATACTATACACCACGCATGTCAAAATGCTTAACATATACAAGTCACCTAATTTATCTTATTTGATTCCAAATCCTCTTTCATTGAGGAATATTAGTTTATGAACGTCTTAATCTATTTTCTTGCTACCATAAATAGGTCTTACTTGTAGGAAACTGAATCATTTTTGAGCTAGTTAGGCTAAAGCGATAGTTCTTTAATGTGTTAGAAGTGGCGTTCCTTATCTTTTACACACTTGGCGCTTTGACACCTTCTGGATCATATAACTACTATTCGCGTCCTTTTTTTTATTTAGTTGTGGGTTCTCGACGTAAAATGATAATGGGTTATCCCTAGCTGTTAGTTGCCATTCCTAGGTCATGGAAAGTCTCGTAATTGCACGGAGTTTGATGAAATAAAAAGCAGGTTTAAGATAATGCTGGGTACTCCTTTGCTTAATCCAAAAACTAATTGATATATGGCAGTGGGGTCTGGCGTTGTCATCAAGTAATTAGACTGTGTGCTTTCGATTATCGTGCCACCAGCCTATGGATTCTTGAGGAACTTGAGATAACGAAATGCACTCATTGTTTCATTCACGGCGAGTTTTTTTTATAGTGCTAAATGTCCATAATATCCTCTGCAAATACTACAACTACCTACTATACACCCGAACCTACTCTGACAGTGCCACCAAATCCGATTTCCTTTTAGAGTGGCGCTATTCTTTTGCTTGGTTCCTCATCAGTATGCAGAAGGGATTGAATTATGTCTCGTCTATACTGACCTTATGCTTCATTATTTTTTTTTTTTTACTAAAGTTCCTCAAATTGCACGCAGAATACACTACATACGTTCCCAACTGGCCTAGAATCAACTTATGGACGACCAATTTTTACTCAGTGTCCGCATTTCCAGTATTTGAGGTGTAATTCCATAGCATGTTGCATGTGAAATGCGAGTTTTGTTTGACTTCTTAGACTCTATGTTTGTAAAAAGTGTATGCAATTGCGGCTGTGCATTTTTGTCCTTCGAGTCGCTACATCCGTATATCTGGCTTCAGCACTCAAATCTTCAGTCTTAAAACGTTTGCACCATTTACGTACTATGCTTATGCTTAATACCTCCTTATATCTTCACTAATCTTCGATGAATTTCTGCAGCGCTGTGCTTCGGGGAGCAAAATTCAGTGAGACCAAGAAATGTTCCTCCTTTGGAACTCATTCCTTTTAAAGTAAACTTAACTTGCCTTCACTCTCAAATTTCTCGAAAACTGAAATAATTGCCAGCCAAACTTTGTATACTAACGACGCGTAGTTCCAACATTATTGAGCTTCAAACTCGGAAGCTGCTTATAATGATAATAATAAAATAACTATAAATGTGTTTCGTTGTTAATGGCATACACTTATCCTAATATGGAGTGCTATCAAGCTGACTCCGTGTACAGCCAAAAGTGTATGTGTTAAACTGAAATTTTACTGATTAAAATTCGGGCTAACTCGTACTCAGTAAGTTTTAGTCTCCGACTAATGTCGAGCAGTTTTTGCTACTATTCGTTTAGTGTACACTTGTGTTTAACAAGCATGAGCTGCCTTACATTCCTGGACCAAAATTCACTGAAATTGATTCGCTCTACCTTACAAACAGTGGACAGGAAGAGCATGAATAATATTAGCAAGGCTGACGATATGCATTAGCCAGCTATGATTCAAAGTGTGTTGATTACAAGGCCGCGCATATTGGCGCAGCTAGTAAAGATGACCCTATAGCTGCAGAGCGTAGCTTATCACTTCAAAGCAAAGAACAAAGCTCATATCTAGCAAACTGACCTTTTCGTCGTTACCATAGGGCAACTTAGAGAAATCAACCAGCTATCAGAGCCGTATGAGATATAATGCGAGTGATATAACTCTACTATAGTAATTCTTTAGCAGAGAAAATCATGCTATCATTCTGACGAAAGATGGTCTGAGACGTACCAATTAAAAAATAGTAGCATTCATATTCCCAATGACAATATCATAGAACCTAGTTTTTGGGAACTTTGTTCACGGTCATTCATAGCATGGTAATTAAATTCATCTTTGCTTTTGACAACATATTACCATTAAAGAAAACAAAGAAACGCAATCAGCTTTTCTGAAACTGATTTTGATATAATACACTCCACTCTAAGGAGTCATCAACAAAAAAATTGTAGAAACAACATTTTTGTTATGATAAAAACGAGTAATTAAAAAAGCGGCTGCCCTTGATCGAAGGCCACCCATTAATTTTTGTATATCGGATAGAAAGCGACACAGAAACGTCTGATGATCTTATTTTGGTTCTTAGCAAGTCATTATCAATTTTATTCTTTCTCTACATTTATCATTTATCTCCACCGAAACAGTCCATCTTTCCATTTAGACATTTTGGTATGTTTAGTCGTCTGACACACAGCTGTCTACAGGTACCCATGATGATTCGATTTTTTTAAGCAACTATACCTATCTCACCCCACTTCTGTGTTCACTTCTAACTTCTGCAACCGTAGCCGAATACGAGGATTTTTAGGGTAGGTGCTTGGGCTGGGCTGACAGTCGTTGATGTTGTTGCTCTCGTTACCAGGAAGACTGGTCTTTTTCCTCGCACGTTTTTAGCGGTCGACAACGTCCCATGATTTCTTCATCTGTCATAGCTGCTACATCGGCAACCACAGAAAAAACAACATCTGAATTTAAAGCAGCAACGGCAGGAGAGCTGCGCGGTCAGACCAGTTGTTCTTCCTCTTGGGGCATCAACCCGCCCGTTTGTGACGCCACACCATAAACCCCACACGAAAAGTACGGAACAATCTGGTTCTTCTCTGCCGTCGTCACATTTATAAACAACGGTTCTGTACGAGGAATCAACTGCCGTTTTTGTCTTCAGACTGTATGAACAGCTCATTCAAAAAAAAACTCTGAGTGGGACAAAGTGGTAGCGAGCGAATAAACGAATAAAAAGATGCTTCTTTTATCCCAGTTAGAGTAATAACTTAGAGGCCTATTATGGAAAAATATATTCTCTAGCGAGGTTTTCGTAGTAGGAATGTTCAATCTACAGCAGAAAATATATAGAATATATTTTACCGTCTTCGATAAGTAAATTTTTAAAAAGAAAAAAATTACTTGGCCTAACATGGGCATAAATACAGAAGTGAGATGATATTCTACAGTCCGTGCACCTTATGTAGAGTAAGAGATAACATCACGATTATTTTAATATCATTGAAAGGTTGTAAATATCTCATGGTATGATTCGCGCGTATTTCCCATTATCATCATCACCGAAATCATTAGTGTACGTACAAAGGTGCAAAGTTCCACAATGAACCACAAATTAAATACGTTTTGCCCTGGATATCCTAGATCTTGGCTGAAAGCATAACGCACAAATTCTTATGGATCTCAAATAAAACTTTTAATGTGCTTTCACGCTGCAGGTTTCTATCTTCAGTTACGACCTGCAGGTAAGAGAAATGAACAGTTGATGTAAATAAAGAACGAGCATTTCTTTGCAAACCTCGAGTGTGGGAATCAACGAAGCACCGAAGTCGCGAAAACTCCTTTGCATAGCTGCCCTCTTCTCCTTCGGTCGGTTGAGGTCCGTTATCAATGAGAGGTCACCAGCGAATAATGATAGTTCGGACAACTGCATTTATCGTGCATCCATTTTGATCGATGACGAAAAACAGAAGAGTGAAGGAAGCAAAAAAACACGTTAACGAACTCGTTTAAAGAGTGAGAGTGGTTGTTTTGGGACTATGAGGGTGATTTTTGAAAATAATGAAAAATTATTTCAGGAATGTAACCGAAAAGGTACCAACGGCACTGGCTAAATAAACAAAATAAGCAACGGCAGAACGTATCTTTTGTTTGTTGGGATGAACTTTTTTTTTGGTTTGCTATTTCGGCAAATGTAAATTTTTAATTTATTATTTATGATGGCTTACTAAAAGTGGAGTAAATAAAGATACACGAAGCTTGTTTTTTGACATCTTAATAATCCTATTTTCCACCACCAATTTTCCGAACACTATCGAATATATATTGTAAATGTTTGGCCAGCAGCCCCCTTACAATTACGGGCCCGTTTATATTTAAATTCTTGTTCCAAATAGCAATACATTTATATTAGTTATGACTATAGCTGTTAATGATCATTCAGTATTGATTCTTTAAAACTTTTGATTTACTCGGCCAGCTCGACTTATCAGAACTAGTAGTGTAAGTAACAAAAACAAATTCATTGGACAGTGCAACGTACACGGCCACAAACCTTTATTTATTAGACTTCCGTTTTGCTTCATTGCCATAAGGAAATCATGTGAAATGCATACGATAAAAGTCTGAAATTTTGCCTACCCATCACCAACAAATAAAAACAACACCAGAATACGCAATTCATCTTCAGATGCATGAGAACATATTTTAAGCCACTTATGGCTGAGTACGTTTCTCAAATTCGTATGCACTCGGTAAACTTTAAAGATCGTGGCAAATCTCCGTTAAGCTGGATGCTGCTACCTCAAGGTGACTTGCGTGACAAAACCCGCTGAGTAAAAATAATGGCGTTTTACAGTTTTTGCTTGGACTTGCGGCTGTTAATAGATTAGAATTAGATTTAAAGTATCTGGCATAAATTTGAACTTGACCTAATTGTGTAGTCCTGGAATTTATAAAACTTAACAAATTACCTGACGCACCTATCAGGGCTATTTCAAAAATCATGAAACAGCTTCCATTCCAAACGATCTTCTAATCACAATCTTTGTGCTTACTACTGTAGATATAATGAAAGCCTCATTTGTATCAAAATATTGTTGGCTTTTGTTATATTAATCTCTGTATATATACGACAGACAAGACGTCAACTTCCAGCTGGCCAAGCTTTAAATGCAGCCTCTCAAACCTTCTGATAAATGTGTCTATCATTTTTTTATGGGAACTCTGTATTGACTTTCCAAAGAGGAAGGTCTGCTTCATTAAAGGCGTGCTCTGCTGCACGAATATGAGATAAGGCGTATTTAATTTCACAGAGCATTTAAAAAACAAAAGACCAGTCTTTTCCTTCATACCGCTGTATCCTTGTGTCATCGTATACCCCTACGGTATAGTATACACAAGATACAGTATAGTACGAGGGCTACAATTCAAAGGCAAACATTATATCCAATCGCGCCTATCTAAGCTGAAAGATCATCCCATGATTTCCGTGCATTTCCTCAGCAAAAAAAAAAAACATAGTTAATACGTTGGTTTCTTGGATTGGCGAAAACTCTAATGCTTATTAAGAATATTGGTTATGAAATTTCCGTTGAAACATAAGTCTCTACAATAGTTAACCTAATTCTGGAAAAAGCCAGTTAGCCGCGAAGTTGGACTTCATAACTTGCGGAAGATAAAACACCAAACTTATTTTTGTCACATTAGTCTCATAACCGTTAATACATTAGGCTGTTACAAGCGTTTCCGGTGGACTTTAAAATTGAATAATTTTTTTAACTGCGCGCCGTTAAGAGACGAAATTTGGCTGGTAAACATTTTAATATTCTAGAAACCCGTGACAGAAAATCAGTTGAGTTTACTTCGTGCGAATTAACCAGATATCGAGACCCAAGGGCAAAAACGCATTGCCGCGATCGAGAAGATCCTTGATAAAAATTGAGCCTAGAGTATAAAGGCCCTCTCGGCCAAAACTAGCATTTCACATGTAACGTGTTACAAGGTTATAATTAAAATGCTCAAAAAATGCGAAAACTGAGTGGAAAATGGGTCCCTCGTAAACAAACTGGAAATTTTTAAAAACTCTAATCAGCAAAATACTGGTTAAAGCATATGTTCACCATAGATGAAGTAGCCTCGATCTGTACCGCCAGTCAAAGAGGCGTCTTCCTGAAGAGGGATCAAGTTCGACAGTTTAAACGTAAGGTAATGACAGTACTTGCAATGGACATCAGGAGCATCTGTTGGTACAAGATACTCGCCAAAAATTAATGAATGTAGCCCGTTATCTGGAATTCCCCAGAAGACTTATGAAGTATTGACACGCTAAACGAAAGCATGCGGCCTTGTTACCTGATGGCAATGCCAGGCCTCTTCGCCAAACCTCAGTTAGTTTTGGATTGAGTAAAAGTATCTAACGTTGGTTTCAACCCGCTTATTCTCTCGATCTGCGTCCGGGTGATTACGAGGTTTTCACCTCCTAAAAAGAGCAACTGGTTGATAAGTTTATCTAACCTTTGGTTTACTGCGAGAAGCCATAGATAAGAAAACTATATGCGGTTGTGGTACATGGTAGGTACGTGGCTGTTCGGAAGCTGTTAAAGCGCTTGAACGTGTAAAAAAATAGCGTACCTATAACATATATGAAAAAGCCATCGTTCTGGCTTTTCAAAGTCCGCCGAATCCGCTTGTAGCGCCCTAAGAAGTGCTGCGCTAGTACGGGCCACGAACTTCGAACTACTGGAATAGCGCTTATCAGCAAAGGAGACGACACGTAATTCACCAGTCTAGTTGTATTTGGTAAGGTAACATAAACGCATAGAAGCCTTGTTTAATGAAGAAATATTCTTTTTAGTAAAACTTAATATTAAAGAGTATCAAATACTTTTAGAACATGTTACTTATAGCTTTAAAATAACCACTATATTTCGCAGTCCAAGGTTTAAAGTAGGGCTGTTCAGGTAGAAAAATTACCTTGACTCTTATACGATTGGAAAGTTTCTAACAAACTTCTGCGACAAAGTTAAAACATTTCTTTACATTTCCTAGAAAAACGCGAATAAAAAGAAAAAAAAAAACACGGCAAAGTGTAGTTCATTGGTTAGCGTTTTTTTCTTTCAGAATAAAAGTATCGTGCGTCTCATGCTCTGTAAGCCATAAAGAACATATGAGTTTGAGCACTCGGTCCGTTAGCTGAACAGCTCCAAACCTGACAAATTCCTAGCCTCGGGATATCTCAAATAAGGATGATCGTAACAAATTCATCATGGTAATACTTGTCACAGAGATCCGTTTTGGATATCAGTTCAAATCTTATGTTTAGTCTATTAAGTCCAAATGATGTATATTAAAAAATCACGTCAAACGTCAAAAAAAACGTTAAAAAAAATGAGATTTTTGGTGAGAAAAATGCTTTTGGTCCCGAACATGGCGCAACGCTAATATAACAAAACCCTGCGAGTTTTGAAAGTCGGATTGGAGTGCTCAGATAGCACAAAATTTTCAATTACTTAAGCAATTCGTAGCACGGACCTTTGCTTGACATGTTTGCACTCCTCAGACCATACGACATTTTTTGAAAATTCTTGCCTATACCGACCTTACATAGTTTTCTGTAACGCGCAACTGCCTTAAAAGTCCGCGCATAACACGGCACCTAACCTCAAATGAATCAGAGTGATTACCCATAGAGTACCTGTCACAGGTAATATTACATTTTTCGACCATTTTCATTTGAGATGCCCCGAGGTTAAGATGTTGTTAAAACTTGGAATCATTAAGTACTGTAACAAGTAACAAGCTGTTCTTTAGGCCGTACGGAACATGACAGGCATACACTTCTTTCAGAAAAAACAATAACTAGTTAATGCCCTTTGCAACGTGTCTTATATTCGCTTGTTTTTTTTATCAATGCTATAGCATATCGAAAATGCCTTTATCACAAAGCTTTGCGAAGAACTTTTTGATGGCATAAGAATTAGAAAAGTTTCTGCCTCACATGATGTCAAGGGTTCCATTTTAAACTTGCGATCAGAACTGTACTGTGTGCGAGTAACCTTAGAGCTATCAACAACACTCTAGAGGTATAGATTGTCATTTAAAAGCAGCGTTTTTAAAAGGATACTTAGAAAATGTTAACGAAAAAATGCTAAAATATATATCTTCATTAGACAAAACTTCAACACCTTTTTACTACCTTGCTAAATACACCTGCAAGACGATTGTGTCCAGTTCTATTTTTTTTTATTTCCCATGTTCACAATTATGCCACCAATCTTTGGTGATTCTTTCTATCTCAATAATATCACAATTACTTATTGCTATCGGTTTATGACATTCTGTTGTTCTTCATATAAATCATTTGACGCCGGCGAAGACTCGAAAAAATTGCCCATCGACATATTATCTATGTTCCTTCCGTAGCGTTTCACGTTCCATCTGCTATTTCTGTTACTATTATTGACGTTGCGCAACTGATAAACTCGATCATAAGCAACGGCCCACAACGGCGTGGCTCTGATGCTTCCCATAGCCTCATACAGAGCAGCGTCGCCTCGTTCGTTTCGGTACGTTTCTTTGTTGGTGCGTTTCCGTGCGGTGCCACTCCCGCCACCGCCGCCAGCGATGTCGCTGCCGGGTTTCGAGCGCGCTTTCAAGAACCCTCGCTGCACTCGTCTGGTCGTCTAGCGGTCTTTAGCGGCCAATTGTACGTAGTTGTACATAGCCGACGCCGCTGCCTCTTTCGGCTCTGTCCGGCTCGCCGCTGCTGCTGCCGCTCCTGCTACTACCGCCACTGCTAACGGTGGCGGTGGAACGGTGCGGCACGTTGACCGACAGACTTCGCGCTAAGAGACGCCTTCTCGCCCACTGCTGCCTCTCCGCTGTTGGACTACGCTGCTGCCACTGGTGCTGCTCGCGGCCGCCGGTTGGTTTTGCTTTTGCTCGCGCTTGCCGGCAACAATTTAATTCACGCTGCCAACTGCTAAGCAGCAGCAGTCAAGCCAGCGGAAAAGATGGCCTGTGAGCCGCAGACCGCTCCCTCCTCCGCCCTCTCCCAAGAACCCTCATCCACCATGTTTGAATGTTTGGTTTGTGTGCGCGCGCAGCAGCGCCGAACGACAGCAGCGCCCTCGGGGTTCTGACAGCCAAGCAGCACCAACCGGCGGGCCAACCAGCTAGCAAGCCGACCGATGTAAGCGAAAGTCAGGCAACAGCCTGAGGAGCAAGTTAGCCAGTCAGCTCTAGCTAACAGTAGGGTATCGCTCCGGACCGGCGGACTGTGTCTTGCGGCTGTGTGCGAGGCAAGCAGGTCAGTCCCATTCATCGGCGTAAGAACGGTCGCTCATCGCCAGCCGTTGCTTGCCCGATGCTATCGCTGTGGCAGTGGTTCATGGTGGTACCTATTTACTGAGTGACCGAAGTCGTTGTGGCGCAGCAAAAAGGTAACGAAACGGTAGGCAGTAACTAGTGCGTCCCCGTGGATTGTACGTGGAGCCGAGTGGATTGCTGAGTGTGTGCGGTGTTGTGCGAGTGTGGCTGGTCTGACGGAGCCAAGCTAGCTCGCTGCAGGCTAGAAATAGTAAAGCCGACGGTCGGTCGGAGAGAGCTCTATCACGGTGCGTTGCTTCTCGCTAGACGGCCTGGGGAAACGGATGCGGCAGCCTGAAAGCGGCTCGCCGCCACCCAGTCACCCTTATATTGTGAACGGATTTCGGTGCTTGTTCAAAGTGGGGCAACAAATAGGTTTAGTAATGACGGTGGTGCGTGCTTTTTGAGTGGATACGTACAACCTGTGTTGCGTACGGCCCATTGGGGCCTACGTAATGTCGCCTTGTCACATCGTGTGCGAAGTATGCTAGAATAGTGCCGATATCTTGTTTTGGATACACAACCACAGTAAAACAAAGCGAAACAATTACACCGCTATTGCCAAAAGCCCTTGGTGGTTGTCTAGAAAAAGAAGCACCCGGCGGGGGCAGCATCGTCGAGTTCGTTAAGCACCACGAATTCGCCTATCTACGTTATCATTATTTGCGTACTCGACGACTCTTAACTGTCCGTTGGACCAGCGTGCTACAAACACTACACAGCGTTCCGGTGAGTACAACCTACTCTCGTTTGCAATGAGAGCACTGCACCCGCCTTCTTACCCAGTCCATCGCTCCAGCGGTCGGTAGCTACCCAAGCCTCCTATACCAGCAGGAGTACGGCGATGATCAGTGCACACGAGTTCCTCGTCGATGAATATCAACATCAGCAGATGTGCTCACATTTGAAAAATAGTACAATATAGCCCTACAAATAAGCCTCTATTCAGAAGGAGAACGACGATGAAGCGAAATGGCCTTTGCGGTCTATGTCATTATGTATAATAATTAGTGCTGTATGAGCTCAGTGGATTAAAACAATGTGTCTGCCTACCCGTCCAACGATCGCTTCTTAGTTTGTGAGTGTAGTTTATAGTTGGTTCATAGCATGTGTATGAAACAATGGACGGTGAGTTTATTTGCCGACCACTGGAGTTAGATTCGATTCGGCCCAATAACTATGGTTTACTCGGGGGTGCTTTGGCAGACCAAAGTTTCAGCCATGATAGTATCATCAAACAAACGCTAAAATGCGATATTCCGTCTATAGGAAGCTTGTGTACGGCAGTGGCCAAGGCGCAATGAGGGAAACTAGCTCGGTTTACCGGAGTCATGAGTGGTTAGGGCTCACTCCGATTAGTCGCTGTCGGTAGGTCGCAGGGGAGCAGCAGTCGGAGCCGTCTGTTGCGTCGGATGATCCGGCAATGGGGGCTGCCATCAGTATTTGCATCCTGCTGCTGCTGCTGCTGCTGTTACTGATGCAGCCTAATGTCCCTTGTAAGTCGCTTCTTTTGAACGAATTAACGGTCGGACAGGGGTTAACAAAGCCGAACGCTGACGCCAAAGTCAAACGTGGGTGCGTGCGTTGTCGGGTCCGTCCTACTGTACGTCCATAAAAGGTAGTTTGAAAGCGCCACGATATCTGCACATTCTATCGCCCGAGTTTGAGCGATTGCAGTCAGTCAACGAACCGATGTGTTATATCCATTGGAAGAACTGCTGGGCCTGGCGGCTTCACTGGATTAAATCAGAAGAGCTTCTGACCAATGGCCGCGTTGCTGTTCATAATACCCAAAGGACACGAATTATGGACGACAGGTGACAACGTGCTTTTGCGCGGATGAATGGTCAGATGGTTTAAAAATTTGTATGCCCCTATTTCCTCAGACCGACCTCCAACTGGCCTCCAGATGGCCTTCCGCAGCCGCGTGTTTCTCGAAGCGGAAATGAGTCAGTGGCGGGGGGGGGGGGGGGTAGATCCTCACTGGGTAGAATTTCAATCATTCACTATATTTATGGAATGTTTAGAGGGATTTTCGGCAGCTTTATGAAGCTTGCATTAAGTATAACAGTACTTGAATAATGATGAAAACTTCTTGTTGAGAGCAGCAGCCGGCGAACTACGTAACCATCTTCGTTGATATACCAGTATTCGTAAAATAGATTTATAAGAAAATCAGGCTAGATCACCTTTTTTACCCTCGTTGTGCAATATTCCAAGTACATTTTTGGCTTAAGATGAAGGTATAGCACCTAGACCTGAATACTGCATGAATTATGGCAAATACGTAATCGTTTGATAAGATTCAGCATGCATCTAATCGACATTCGATAGAAATTAATTTTAGCTCAATAGCGAATAAAAATTAACGTACAAGCATGGTGACATTTAAAAATTTGAAACGAGCAACAAGGGATAAACATAATATAGATTGATATGATCGGCGTTGCCTTAGTCACAGATATCGACATTACCATTTGGAAGTTATCTTAAAAAAAAGCCGATTATTATATATTTGCTTGTCCTGTTGCGTTTGGTGCTGGTACCTAGTTCCGTTGAAATATGCGATGTCACGAAAAACCAGCGACGCACTAACGGCCGCTCTTGTCGGCGTTATCCTTTGGACCTACATAAACATCAAGGGTCGATTTAGTTTCAAATTATGCCTATAGTCGAAAGTATAGAATCTCTACCATTTGTAGCATCGCAAAGCTCATGCGTCACATGTCGCGCAAAGCCTGTGTTAGGAGCACCGTCACTTTACTATAGAGCACAAATTGCCAAACAGAAGTTATCCGTTTGCTGCGCGAACGTGAAACGAGTATGCGGGTAGGCCAGTACAGACAAATCTTCGTCTTGGCAGACGGATTAGCTACATGAAACTGCTTGTTTTGTTCCAGGTACGTTATTATCAAGCAAACCAGAACAGTTGAGTCGATAAGGTGTCATTTGAAGTGGTCCTGTTCTGGGGATTTATCCTGCGTAAGTCCCCAGAATTCAGTAGCTCATGAGGGGAATGTATGCCGTGTCCAGAACAAAGGCTGGCTATTTTGTTCGTTGTCGTTTAGAAATTGGTTTGCTTTGTTGGATTTTTCAAACTACTGATCGAGTGGCAACCAATTTGGTTATGAGCAAATTTCAGAACCCTTTCATCATGTCACTTTGTCTCTGTCACCGAACGTAAAAAGTGATCTCTACACGTATTAAATTCGAGTTGACAGTGACAACAGTCTTTACGTGTTGACGACTTTCTAGCGCTCTTATAAAAGTTTGGCTATATTTCTTTCATTGTTGCCCGCAGTCACATCAAATCTGAGCAAGTTCACTGGCCTTTCCTGAATAGTGCGCTACTCCTCTTATGTCTAATAACATAATCGCTCCGAATCTAAATCTGCATGATGTGAGAACCTCCGATCGGGAGTGCGGCTAACTTCTTTCTGTTCATTTGATAGCGGTTCTGTGTCGAACAAAAACTGAAAAGGATACGAAGGAGCCTTAACAGCTCGAATAATTTTTCCCTTGTGGGGGCGGACGAAGCAAAGGAATAAATAGGTGCAAATTGAAGTAGAAGAAAAGGAAAGGTAACAAAGCAAGGAATGGACGAGAGTTCGGAACGCGCAATCTGTTTTACATAAGGCAAGCACTACTGCTGCTGCTGCTGCTGTGAGTTCGCAACACATGGTGGCTTTGCGGTTTGCTATGGCGTCTCTTTCCTATGCCATTAATACCGTTACCTTTACATTGACTCCTACGATAGCTGTCATTACAACCACTGAAGAGTCTTGCTGCCTCTCGCTATTTTCTTCTCCTACCTTATTCTGTCGACTTTTTGACGCCGTGTTCTTTTATGTTCACGCACACATATATAGAAACAGGCGACTCGCCAACAAAACAGACGGACAGATCCGTCGTTGCAATATAGCGTAGATTCTGCTACATGGTACGCCACAGCATCTCAAAGGACGCGTTAAAAAAGAAAGACGTCTGTGAGAATGTCCGCAGTTTCTCATGCTATAACAACAGAACAACCACCGGTGATCACTGCACCGGTGACGGCCGCGCGAATTATACTAGCGTTATGTTACGCAGACCGACAAGAAACGGTCGTCATACCACGACATAGGCGTGGCCTGTTGGTCGGCTGGTCAGACGGTCGATTCGCATCGTTTGGCGAACAGTCGGGCTGATTGGACTTCGTGGATTTAAATATGCCGTAATACATGACAGGCTAAGCAATATCCACATTTTAGTACGACAAACAAACAGAAAAACATCTGTGCTGTTCGATCAAGGTAACCTGGATGGATTAGTTCTTTACGCAAGCAGTGCAGTATATACTGTAAGGGGATATTGAGCAATGTCATGTAATTATAATAATCAGGAGTGACAATAATTGTTAGGGACGTCCTAATCTAATAATTAGTTGTAGACAGACCTTAACGTAAATTATACCCTCATCCTCTTCTCTATTTGATATTTTTTTCCGTAATAATAATGATTCCAGGACGAGTGTAAGAATAGTAAATGATTGTCCTGAGTTAAAACCTTATAGTCGGGTAAAGCTGATATCTGTTCTAAGTACAGCGCCCTGTAGACATGTTATGAAGATCGCGACATTGATAGCAATGCGTGTGTCCTGTCTTCGGTACGACTGAATGACCCGCTCCGCTCCTAACAATATTTTTGCGAGCTTATGGACATCTTATACTTTTAGAGACAGGAAACTCGTAGGTTAAGGGTTTCCTTTTAATAGGGCCGAGACTTATCCTGAATGATAGTGACTTAGAAAACCGTAAAGAAGTTTCACGTTGAAATGTGTAGCGATCAGGCTCGAGTGGACGCTTGTGCATAGATATCCCTCTTAGGGGGTTAAAATAGCCGAACGGTGAGTAACCTCCGACAGCGGCCGGTAATGCTGAACAAACGAATGTTTGCTTCCAAACAACTATGTATCGAATGCGTATTAAATATATAGCTGTGGGCGGGGGCAAGATCATTTGAAATAAATGACTTATGTATCCTTTATGTAATGAAATATACAATATACTTTACATAAATATAACGGTGAGGCAAATCCAAGTGCGATGCGTGGTCGCTCCCGTCAGAATAATATTCTGTAATACTTTTAGTGCACCATTGGACATTTAGAATCGACAGAGTGGACTTGACTCCAATGCAACGAGTTGTGGACTAAAACAGCCGATCCCGAAAATGTGCTATCTTGAATAATTGAAATAGTTACAGGTAGCTGCTGGTCGAACTCTTTAGAAAATACGAAGTCGTAGTGAAATTCCTTTGAACCTCGAGCACTCCACCTGTTCAACAACGATAGCTGCGAGCACCTGTCGTGAAATTAATTAGATTTCCAGTTTTCTCGCCCTAGATCTTCTCTATATGTACCTCTCGCTCTGCGTCGCTTTGTTCAATGCAGTAAAGTCATTGAGCTCTTTGTGGCGGCCGGCTGAGGATAAGCGAGCAAAAGTCAAAAAACAATCCTCAATTCCGCAGTAGCCGGAATCGCTCAGCTACACCCTACTCTCAGACAGGCGGTGTTTGAAGTTGTCCAGAATAAGGGTGAGTAGACGACAGTGAAAAGGGAGCTCTTTAGTTACAAAGTTGCCATTGACACATACGGAGAATGAGGGCGCGCTTCAAGAAATAGCGGGCCAAGGACCCAGGTGTGTGTAAGATCGAACACCTGTTACTGCGTTTGTGGCAGATGTTAATACTTGGTTGTATAGTTATTAAGCGGATTAGTTCAGTCAGAATTTTTATCTGAGTGTAGATATGAATCTACTGCCGGTAACTCTATATCCCACATAGGTACCCATCCAAGACTTCTCTAATATTAAGATGGGAACTGTTTTGGGCCGAGCAATGGGTCGTCCAATGCGGAGTCACTTCATCCCTCGCTCTTGTATGAGGGTAGACTAACATGCGAGTTTGTATCGGTGTAAAAAGCATGTCCATCTCAACGAACAGCTATAAACTGACAGTACGTGCAAATGAGGTGTTAGACACATATGGTTGGCTGAAGGCTCGTATGTACACGGTTGCAAGAAACCTCCGCGTCGATTCAATGTAGATCTCCGGTTGCAGGCAATTCATTGAAATGAAGAAAGGGAATTCGAACGCGAAAGGAGCGCGTTTAATTTTTGGCAAGCGGAAGGAGGTGGAACAACCAAAATGTCTCAATGGGAAAATTGAAAGTAGGCGCGAATTTTTTTACATCGCAGCAGCGGCCAGCCTGCCTCCTATCAACTGCGTTGAGTTCGACGGGAAATGATATGAAAAATTATACGCTGAAATGAAATCCATCTTAGGCTGGCACTCTGTTAAGACAGAAGGCGCGTGAATAAGCAAGCAGTACGTTTGGTTTGACCCTGTTCTGACCCAGAACCAATCACAGTAACGTGGAGAATGCCCGTTTCGAAACAGAGTAGTTGAAGGACTAGTTAAGTGAATATTATTGAGACATGCGTAGTTATCTGTAGCTGGTGGCTATAGAATTACAGTTGCAATTTTCGAGTTCATGAACGAAATTGAAGCTATCGAGCGATCTTTTGAAACTATTAGGTCAATATAGTGTTCTGTTTATTTAGAGGAGGCACATTTTTAGTGTTTCAGGAGTATGGAAACTTTCGTTGATGCAACATAATATAATGAACGTTGAACGTTGTTATCTACCCGCACACTCAGGTATGCATTATAGATGTCGAGTTGTTTTTCTCTAGGAGTAAAAATATGACCACTCATATAATATGGTTGAATGACTTATAATTCCATAGATATTTGTTATACTTTTAAATCTGATGAGCATCACAGGTGCCATCTAAAACGCTACAGGATCATTGGCGTAAGAAAAATTTCCAGAAAATCGTATAAAGCAATCATCGTTTGAGCCTTGTCCGCGAACTGTAACCCTACAAACTGAACTATAAGAATATTTATTGTTTTACAAATAGAAGTGCATTCGTAGCAGGCGATTTCCCATTTCTGCTTTATGGCAACGTGGGGATTCGCGGCGTCTAGGTCCCATACTGGCCACTGCATCGTCACAGCCTCTTCACCTAATTGTACACATTACACCATTCTCTACCGTTGTACGTTAGTTATATAACTCTAGTACATTATCCAGAATTTAGTAAAAATGTCAAGTTCATTACTAGTAATTGCAGGTAATCTTGTTGCTAGTAATATCTTTGCTTACCTGATTTCTCTCCCTAGGAGCCTTGACTTCTGAGAAACTAGCCAGCTTCAGTGAAACAACTTATAACAATAACTAACGCCCGCCTGCAGTGTTCGATCAGATGTTAAAGCCAGATACCAAAACATAAGCGCTTCTAATAGCATGTATATAATCCCATAATTCTAAGCAATGTCACGACAATCTTTGAACAACTTCGACCTAAAAAATTTCCATGTGAGTAGTTTAAGTAGACCAAGATAAAAGTGACGCAAACGATACGGTCAGTGCGATTACTAAGAGGTCTTTAAAGTTAATGCTCCGGTCCGGCCGAACCTTTGCATCATAGTTTTTTCTATTTAATTTTATCAAACCATTCGGCTGCTGCATCCCGCTGCTGTGCCAGACGACGTTGATGAATAATGATTGTCACCACTTCGTCCGTTATGTTGCCCTCGTTGTTCTGTTATATGACAGCCAGAGGAAAAGCGCATAACGTATAAAATGAGTGAAGTGGGCAATCGAAAAATTTGTTTTGCGGTTTAAACTAGATTTGGCTAATCCATAAGCCGAACCACCAGTTGAATCTCCAGTCCCAGCGGCCGACGGCCCATTTTGGGGTCACATTCACAGAGTTGCTGCTGCTGCTGCTGCCACCTCCACAGCCTCCGGCATTTCTGCACGATAATGCGTCGTACTAGATGTCTGCTGTTTTTGACGCTGACGTCATTCCCGCTGTATGTACCAACGAGAAACGTCGCTGTCGGGCGGCTTTGTACAACAGTTTCATTGGAACGATGGCAACAACGATAGCTAGAGGTAATAACACTGCCTCCATCAACGCTACGTCTACTAGTGTCGCCAGCTTATATTAGATGTACTAATGAAGTCTCATGTTTTAATCAGGCGTTCTTTGAATCATCATGGAAATGGAATACTCAAATCGAATGTCGCGGTAAGTTCCAGACGTAGTCAACAGGAAATCACTAAACGAATTGTTGGCTGTTAGCACGGGCATCGTACGGGCGACAGCTATGTTGGTCGTATTCATAATTCAAACTGCTGTCCATTACCCCAACAAGCAACTTAAATGACAGGGCAAATTGTAACGCACAGTTCCAGAGAGCCACAGCAGGACAAGTCGAACACCGCTTCAACTGATCATGCTAGAAGTCACCAGGCGGTAGGTGTATGTGACATTTATCCAGATAGTTATCCAAATGAACACGCTATGGTATCGTATGATACTTGCGCTAAATGGGCGCAGATCTGAAAATTCTTAGTATAACGTCATGGGTTCCGCCAGTCGTTACCTCTGTGGATTATTGCAGTTTTCCCAGAGTGCTGATTTCGTCATCCTTCCCGCTACTCCTAACCGCGACGCAATCATGTGGTTCATTGGAGGAACTCAACTCAGACCAATATCTATTGTCGTCAGATCGCCGTTTTCGGAAAGTATAGTCGACAGCAGTCGTGTAATGTTTGTTGTAACGTTTCAGTTTTATGGCTTAAGCCAAATAACAAAGGCAACCCTTTTTCATGCATTTTCCGTCGTTGTCGTCGTAGCCACGTCACAATCATTGACCCGCTAACGTATGCTGCTGGGGTTCCAGAAAATCGTGAATGCCGAAGCATGAGAGTATGGCAGAAGTAAATGACAACAACAATACAGAAGAAGAAAAGGAATTCGAGAAACGACAAGACAAAACCAAAAAGGTGAAGTGAAATGCGCGCTGAAAAGACATTCTTCCATGTATCCTCTGCTACTGTTGCTGCTGCTGCTGCTGCCGCCGCCTGGCTCGGGCCAATATAATTGAACTAGATCTTTGGCTCCAAAGCTAACCACACATCTCAAGGTAACCCATCCCCTGGCACGGGTTTAAGAAACTGCAAAAATTGATACACTAATATATATTGTCAGAAAACTAACGGTACCAAACAACACAACGGCAGGTCGCATGTTAAGAGGTAGAATTTTCGTCGAAACGCAGAATGCAGGAGGTTATCGTCATGTGGCTAAGACCTCCTGGCTAAGACCTTGGCCACTCCTGCGATATTTTAAATGTCATGATTACTAATCAGAGGTGACTATACACAACGATTCTGTCTTCGATTTCTCTCCTTTGTATTAACCAAATGAAACCAGTCGATTAGCATATTCAACGAGCACACATATAATGGGTAAGATTCTACTGTGTTCGTTTGAAGAAAATCTATCAAAGGAAGAAGGAGCCATACCTCTCATACGATTGTTTGGACCCTTGACAGCTGGCAGCAAGAGCCGCACACGAAATTATTAACTGTCACCCTATTTACTTGCTCTGTGCCACGATCTCCTTCCTACGTGTTTCAAATTGGTCGAATGAAAAGCAGTTTTAAC